GTTCATTTCAGAGACTAGTTGTTAGTCTAGTAGGACGTTAATGGACCTTGCACTGAAGACAACAGAACGTTAAGCCTCTGTACTGGATTGACTCCGACTAGCCATCCTTCCTCCCTGTTGAAGTGCTTTTGCAACATCTGTTTATTACTCTGTCGTGTATAATAATAACATACGATGATGCCCATCCTCCTCCGACTGCTCAAGCCAGTAGTCAAACGTCAATTGAGTATGTCTTTCCTATATTACTGACGGTCAGCAGAGTGTGTTTAGAATACATTGCTGACAATGAGGAACATTTAGGAGATTAACGTATTATTACAGAGTTTGTCGGATACATATAATGGGTACGTTATCATTATCACAATTTTGCTTTTTGCTTGATGAAGTTTTATTCCCTATTAACGCCGCACCCGGCACTGTATCAGATATAAGACTGCGGTCTCTACATAATAGTGAGGACCAGACAATCCAGTGATTGACATCAAGAGTTAATTTTACGCATTTGGGCTACGATGAGATGCACCAAAAAGGCCACTGATCATCTTAGCCGGTAGCAGTAAGTGAGTATGTTTTTACGCTGCTTTAAGCAATATTCCAGCAATATCACGGCAGGGGACACCAGAAAAGGGCCCGCTAACAGCTTCAAATGCACAGGAGTGCGTGCGCGATGTGTGCGCAAGACACGTAATGTTTCGATTCTGGGCTAGATATTACAGTGACTGATATGAGTATCGTTATCGGGTCACAGATCATCAGCCAAAATGTAATCATCGCGCAGACCACCCAATCAACTAAATTGTCTATCACTGCCTGCACTGCTTGTGTGGGTACACCCGGAATCCTAAATTGTCAGAGGAGACTGGTTTGGGTTTGGTTGTTGTTTAACACCGCACTCAGCAAAATGGCGGCGATCTGTAAATGATCGAGTCTGGTCCAGACAATCCAGTGATCAACATCATGAGCATCAATCTAGGCAATTGGGATACTATGACATGTGTCAACCAAGTCAGCCAGCCTGAACACCCGATCCCGTTAGTCACCTCTTACCACAAGCATGGGTTACTGAAGATCAATTCTAACCCGGATCTTCACCCGTCGACTAGTCAAGTCAATCTGAACCTGACCGAGCGAATCGCGGAATGTGACTTTAGAATATCCTTTACAATATATCAAAAGTTTTGTTTTCGTTCGTATTCTCCTTTAAGTAAACCGTCCTCACTGTATTCACATCAGCTAAATCCGCCTTTATTCACATGCAGTCAATTCAACAACAAAACACAACAAAATCAGTCCTGTGAAATGGTTTATCTTCATATTGGCCACTAAACTTATCATGCCATCCTGAAAACAATCAACATCTGTTGACAGAAGCAGAGTGAACCATCTGTCAAATAGAGGCACCAATCCCATGTATTATAACCTGTCTTACTTTATTTTCTAGGACACCATTACACAGACAATTATGCATAAATACCTACCTCAAACTTCTTAGAACCTTAAACCTCTTTACATACACTACACAACATATGCTGCATATATCATCCATCATTTTTGGGTGTATGCCTAATGAATTTAATAATTGATAACAATCAGGCCAAATGAAACATACTTCTTGTTCATTTGATTTCCATTATATGTTATCATAAATTTTGTTGGGCATTCCACATAAACCTTAGAAGAGTGTGGTTTACACACCTTTTGGCAATTTTCAGTAATATCTCAGCAGAGGACACCAGAAACAAGTTCAAATAATTTATGCCTGTAGGAATCAAATCAAAATGTCATGCAGAAGAACGGTACAATGGCATACTGATATGACACATATCTATATGATGCTAAAATACTGACAAGTATGACCAATCAGTTGTGATGTACTCAGAATAATGTAAACTATGGTTACAGCACCCTCGAGTGAGTGAGTATGGTTTTACACCACTTTTAGCAATATTCAAGCAATATCATGGCCAGGGACACTAGCAATGGCCTTCACACATTGTACCCATGTGAGGAATCGAACCTGGGTTTTCAGCCTGATGAGCGAACACTTTAACCACTTGGCTACCCCACTGCGCCTCTTGCACACTCGAAGGGGCCACTACTTTAATTTCATTATAACAGTTGTTTGTTATACATATTTTGACCTAAATTTACAGCAAATGTCCTGGGCTGAAAAAAACAGTTTGTCATAGTCGTCACTTCAAGCATGTTTATTATAAACACAGTTTACTGTATGAAGACATTTAATTCAAAAACAAGTGTAATAATTCTAGTGGCCTTTTGCATATACAACTGTTGCCAAAAAGATTTAAATAAACTGAACTTTTTGTTTCAACTTAAAAATGTAAATAAAAAATGTAATTGCACCAACAAACACCTGGGAAACGATTTACTCTAGAACTGAGACCCGTTTTCCATTTTCCAGTTATTCATCGAACTTGACAATTTCTCATATTTTCAAAACAAACACATCTTCCAACATAAATATCTACATCCCCTACAAACACAATGACATAATTTACATGGAATGTAATTCTACTTCGCAAGTACTTGCTGCATTTTATTGGCTTTCGCATGTTACCATCAAAATCAAAGACCCTTTGGACAGCCGTCAGTCACATCTGTGAGTCTGACTGAGGTGGAAGAAGTGTTCAGGATCCAGATTATCCAATAGACAAATATCTGTATCCAAGGTATTATGCTGGTCTTCCATCATACAATTTCACTTAATGTCATTAAACTAGTCAACCCGAGAAGGTCCAGGTTGGAATTGGTCTTCAGTAACCCATGCTTGTCGTAAGAGGCGACTAACGGGATCGGTGGTCAAGCTTGCTGACTTGGTTGACACATGTCATCGTATCCCACATGCATAGAACGATGCTCATAATGTTGATCACTTGCTTGTCTGCTTCTGACTCGATTATTTACAGACCACCACCATAAAGCTGAAATGTTGCTGAGTGCAGAGTGTTGAGTTAAACAACAAACCAACCAACCATTAAACTAGTCATCAGGTTGTCCACAGATCCAAGTAACCTCTCATGACAACAAGCATCCTGGATTATTGTTTGTTTGTTGTTTGAAGTCGAGCTGAGAAATACTCCATGTATGGCCGTGCTTCTGGCATTAGGACTAACCATATGTATTGGTGAAGGAACTCGAATTGGTGTTTTTGTCACATTGGTAAGAGTCAAATATTGCTGAGTGAGTGAGTGAGTGAGTATAATTTTAAGCCACCTTTAGCAATATTCCAGCAATATCACGGGGGTGGGGAGGAGGGGGAAGAGGGACACCAGAAATGGGCTTCACACATTGTACCCATGTGGGGAATAGAACCCAAGTCTTCGTTGTGACAAGCGAACACTTTAACCACTAGGCTACCCCACCGCCCCTCAAATATTGGTTAAAGCTACTGAAATTGTTCATGAGTATGAAACCAGTGATTCCAAAGAGAACGGTCAATAAAAGGCAGCAATGTTTTGAATCTCTTCAAAGATCATACAAATCGAATATCTTACTCTGATTCAATATGGAGAAACACACTGAATCTGGGTCAGGACCAGATATCAAGAAATCACAATAAATTCATTTTCAAACAATGCTTTTCATCCATGTTAACCTACTCTAAAACAAAATGTTCATTTCCATAAAAAGAAGGTGTTCTTCATTGAATCAATAAAAAACAGTGTCTTTCAAAATACAGCACTACAGCAAAACAGAAGCAATATATATAGTAACAGCAGTTGATGATGATTCATTTTCTCACAATATTTATAATATATGTACAAATGAATATAAATATACAGCTTTTAATATAATCACAATGATACCCAAGATGCAGTCACTTCATCTATGACAAGAACAAACTCTAGGCTACAGAAAGTAAATTACATGCAACTTATATCTATATTTTAATAATTTGAGAATTGAAATGAACAATTTGAGCTTTCATATATCGATGTTAGTTTGGTCTCATGCTTTTCAGTAGTTGAAACTTTTAACCATCAATATTAAATCTCAGACAATCAATATTTCAAGATGTTTCTGTACTACAAGTTGACTTACAGGTTCAACATGTCTTTGAACATTGTATCATTTAAATGATGGCAGACTAGATCTGCACTTCAAACAAATTAGGGCATCCTGGCCAGACCAAGGGAAGCAATTCTGAGGGAAGAGATTTGAGTGCTTTCACTCAACAGGGCCATCAATGGCCCCAAACCTAAAAAAGCAATATTTGATTTAACTCAAGACCGGTTCTCTCAGCGCTGTATCACTGATTGTGACCTCAGTGTTTTGGCTACAAATATTCTCCTAAACTCAAAACAACTTTATCAAGTTCCCTACTGAGAACTAAATACTGCTACAACTGAAAAACACAGTCTGGGTCCCTGTGGTTTTATCACTGAATAATGTTTAGAGATAAAGTTTAGTTTTCAGTTATCAAGAGTAATTATTCAACTTACAGTTATTTGCAATTTTTTGTTCACATCCATATCTTCAGGTAGATGCTATATCATGGGATGTATTTTCTCACCAAAGAAATAAAATATAAAGATTGAAACTTGAAATTTAATCTACCTTGAAGGAAATATTTGAGAAATGTCAAGATTTGCAGTGGGCTATATTTGAAAAAAAATTCTGTTTGTGATATGTAATCTACAAGTGGGCTAGAAACGATGCCTTTTTAATGCAAAATACTTTGAATTCAATTACTATAAATACTAAATTTTATACGCATGCCACAACACATGAACATAATAACTTTACTCTTTGGGAGACAACATTTTTTTAAGACCATTAGGTGAACAAAACAAAAAAATGTGTTCATAAATTTTTAATTTTAAAGATATTTTACTATCCACAAGAGATCACAAAACACCCCACCAGTTTCTCGATCACTAAAATGTACATGGGCTATCTTAGAACATAACATACAGACCAGGGCAAAGATTAATATCTTCAGATTTCTCACCATGATGACAAAAAGACCAATATGCCGATCGAACAGGTACTTCTTTATTATTTTACCAAAATGACATATAATATATTACATAAATCTATACCTGTTCTTGATTGGGAAAAACATTATGTTTCCTGCTATTACTGCAAGAATTTACGGTTGAGTTTATTTCCATGATCTTCCATCCCAACAGAGGGTGAGTATTTTCCCGTCTGGTTGACCATGTCGATGAGTAGTTGTAAGAAAGTAGTGGCACAGATATGGTTAGTGTTACATCAATGGACAGACTGCCTCAACATTAAACCTTTCAGTGAAGTGAAAAGTCTAAATAAATAAAACATAAAGCCCTTGAATATAATGATAGATTGCACTAAAAGGTTTCCAGGGATGTATAATTGCCGGTTTATGAGACAAGATGCAGCAGATTACAATTGTCTAACTGTGTTACTTGACTCAGACTTAGAAACCTACAGGTATGGTGCTGAAAAACCTGGAAACACAATCACAACGAACCATGATTTGAACCCACGATCATAGCTTCTGGCAAATTAAAGGGACATAACTGTTGACCCACATCAGCGTCTATACAATAGCTTTCACACCACAGACCTAAATCATGTTCTGTCTCTGAAATATACTGTACTGGATTGTACTTGATTCAACTGTTTGTATTTTAAGCAATACACACAAATGAAAATCTGATTTAAGTGAGTACAAATTCTCCTTTGAGTAAGAAATGATTTAATGAAAAAAAACTCAAAGATGAAAGAAACCATATTCATAAACGTAGTTGTGTGGAATTCACAACTCAATGGCTTCTAACTGAAACATGCCAGTATGGCTATTTCTCAGATATATATGTGGCAGGAGTGTCTGCAACACGCTGCTAAAACTCATAGTGATAACAAATCATACATTACACAAAAACATCAAAATATTACAATGTGGAAATGTTGAAAAGATGAATATTTTTGTTATTTTTAAACATTGTTTTGTGTTTACTTGGTTTTGAATACTGTAACATTTCGGTCCTGAAAATGGAGGAAGACACCATTCCCCGTGAAGCATGTTTCAAGATAACCTTCCCTGTTAGAAATAAGAGCAGAACAGGTTGCCCGTACTATACAAAGACGACTAAAATGAGGATCTGGTGAGTGAGTGACTTTGAGTCCCCATTCACTGATGGTAAAGATTTATTGTGCTCTTGCTATCAACCACAGGTTTGACATACTTATATTTCTGCTACAAACTCCACAATGCGGCAGTGTACACACCTGAGATAGTTCTCAAGCCTACATCTATATTTGAAACAGGCTACACATGTTTATGCAGAGGAAATGAAACTGGTGGTCGACAGCATGAGTCCCCATCACAACAGTTGGGAACAATATAACACCAGCACCTTGATCAAATGGTGCTTCAACTTATGGAAGGATAAATGAAACATTCCAGCTGGCCCAAGTTCTAAAATGCTTGATAATGATCTGAATTCCCTGTAAGTGTCTTGAAATACAGATATTACAACACCGAGTCTAAAGGGCGTATCAACATTCATCCCCGTATTCTAAACTACACTATACTGCTCATAGGAATCCATATAGTTTCTATTTTTCATATTCCAAAGATCATTACGAAGTCAAACATGAAATCCGACTACTTAAATTAAAATCATGTCAAATTTTACAAAATTCAAAAAATAAAATTAGTGTCAAAAGCACCAATTTCAACCTTACTAGAAAATGATCATGTCAGTTTAATTAATTTACATAACATCCACTTGAATCAACGTCAGAAAATAACAACTTTAATTCAAATTATCATGAAATTCCGATGATTTAACGTGTCTGAAATATGGAAAGGTAATATTAATTCAACTCAGAAAACTCAATAAAATAATGAAGATAAGTCTCATAAAATTCAGATTTCGGAACATCAAAATGTTGGTGTATTCTGATGATCCTATCAACACGTTCTATAGCCTTCTAAACACTAACAATAGCATCTTCATCACCTATATAACATACGTCACATCAACCCTGACCAAGCTTCAGAAAGACTGTTCAGCTACAACATTGACATAGAAAGAATCTAGCACAAAGACCTCGAGATCAAGGCCATTAAGAAACCTAACTAAGAATCCTAACTGTTTCCTAATTCAAATGTCCCATCATTGAAATTATTCCACAAAGTCCTACCTATACTAAAGTGTCATAAACAGATGTGTAATAGATTAATGGAATTGTGCAGAGAAAAGAGTGAGGAAATGTCTTAAATCCACTAATACATATGGTGATGCTCCTGTAGATATCTACTGTTCGCAGCAGACCCTACACAATCTGCCTCCCACACAGATGACTCTAATAACGATGTGAAATATACAACCGCTATGTACAGCTATGTTGATGATGTGTGTGACTCTGACGTCGTCACTGGACGTGAACGCTACACTGTGGACGTTCCGATGAACGCCGATTCTCTTCATATATACAATGGATTGGGAAAAGGGAAGTAACTGTTTACTGTCATCAAAACTGGACCCATGGCCCGCCTCCTCCTTCACTGCTGGAATTACTGTTTTGACTCTGCCCGCCACTGGAACAAAAAATGTGGTTGATATTAATAACAATTTTTCCCATGGATAAAAATGATTTTTTCTACAATTATCATTGTAATCATGGCCAAAGATACTATTTTCAGTTAAGAAAGTGAGATTAAGTTGAGCACAATTGAAATATATGTTTCAGAATAAACAGTAAAATTCTCCAAATTCAAATTTTTCTTCATGTCAGCAGGAGTGAGTTTGGTTTTACACCGCTTTTAGCAATATTCCAGTAGTATCATGGTGGGGACACCAGAAATGGGCTTCACACATTGTACCCATGTGGGGAATAGAACATGGGTCTCTGGCGTGATGGATGAACACTTTAACCAGTAGGCCACCCCACCGCCCCTTCATGTCAGCAGGAACCCATATGGCATACAACACATCTTGATATTAAGGTTGTGATTCAACGTACCACACGACACATGAAATCCTGATTACTGACATGTCAAAGAAACATTTCCATCATCAAAGAAAATGAACAGCCATCATGAATTATTTTGGTCATTTGGCAGATTTGGGTCAATTCTCTTGTACACACAAGACGAAAATTATATTACAGTAAACTGACTGGGATAGTTATGCACCTGAACAATTACAAATGCTGGGTGGTTGGTTGGTTTGTTGTTTAACGCAGCACTCAGCAATATTCCAGCTACATGGCGGCAGTCTGTAAATAATCGAGTCCGGACCAGATAATCCAGTGATCAAAACTGGGATACGATGACATGTGTCAGCCAAGTCAGCTAGCGTGACCACCCGATCCCATTAGTCGCCTCTTATGACAAGCATGAGTTCTTGCACCCCAATTCTAATTCTCTACCCAACAAATTGTCGTAATTGTCCTTACTCTGCGCTGGTGAAGTCCCCCCACAAGTCAGGCGTGGCCTTCTGTGTGGGCTGGACAGGTTGTGATGGTGCAGACGATGGCGCCACTCCCAGGTCAAACAGCAGGTCCAGTTTCTGAGTTCCACTCTGATTGGCTGGCTGACTGGCTGGCTGACTAGCCGGCTGGGCCACTGGCTGGGCCACTGGCTGTGCTGCCTGAGGTGGTGGCTGTACACTGGCACCACCTGCTGGTGGCAACTTAATTCCCCCTGGTGGTGGAGGGAGTAAACCTATTGCACCTCCTGCTTTTGCTCTTGGTCTGGCTTTGGTAGCACCATCTTTCTTAGCCTGTAATGTTGGAAGAGTCAGGTTGATAAAGAAGGAAAGAAAATTATGGCAGTAGTAGACAATTGTGTGCAAAATAGCCACTGGCCCGCTAGCCCATGGCTAGTAAAAATCCATTCAGGCCAGTAAATCTCCACAGTCACTGGCCTGACTGGCTAATCAATTTTCATGGGGTAATTTTGTAAATATATCACTATCTCTGACTTGTTAAGTTACAATACACCTTTAAATCATGCAAGATTATGGCCTGATAAAAATGTTCATCTTATTAGCAGCTTAATGATGAAACCCGTGTCATGCTGACAATATCTTATTCTCATCTATTTTTGTAATCTTTTGCTTAGTTTCTTCATTCAAATTTCGGGCTGGTGAATTATTTTGTGGACTAGTAACTTTCAGGCATAGCTGGCCTGACTGGCAAATTTGGTAACTATTTTGCACACTAGTTCTCAGCACTCCAAATGTCTCAACAAAAGGATCAAGATGAAATCTCAATAAGATTGATAACTCAGTAAAACCATGGCATCTTGGACTGATGCTGTAGAACAGCTCAGACTGAGACTCACATTGCAGACATTTGCAATTACTAATTCAGAAGAGTATCCGATCATGGATCATAATGGCCTAGACCAGAAAACCATGACAATTAAGACATGTAATTCTGCCTATTACACTGTCATGCCCTCAGCTGACATAACACCACAGCTCTCAGAAACAATGCTGATGCAATGTTAAACTTCACTCTCTCCAAGACTGTTGGATGTTGCTGATAGATCACTTACCCCAATATTGAGTGTAATGGTCTGCCCTTCCTTGAAGCCAAGGTCCAGTTTAGGTCCACTGTCTAAAGAGGCTGCACTCTTCTCAGCCTCGGCTTCTTGCTTTAGCCATCTGCAGATGAAAACAACAGACAAATGCAACAACTTCATCCTGAGATATGAACATGCTTAAAAAATATAGGAAAATGGGGCAATGAAAAAAAGAGCATTAATATAATTAAGTCTGGCCACTCAATCCATAGGTTGCCTCTTACAGCATGGGTTGACAAAGACCAATTCTATTTGGATCTTCATGAGGTCAATTTAATCTGAGCTTAATACCATGTACAAAATTACAATGGGCAAGGCAGTTGTGTGTTTTTAAATATTATTTATGACTCAAAAAACAAAACCATAAACAATAAACACAAAATTTGCAGCAAACTTTCAAAATGCCAGTTCACTTACTTGAAGTGATCCTGAAGCGAGACATTGAGATCAAAGGAATCTGCGCGGTCTTGAAACCCAATTCCAATGAAAGCACTACGACCTGCAACATATATACAGTTTACATCTTTATGACTACAAAAGACGAAAGTTTTGTACCAGTAACATAATAATATTTACCACACATTATATGAAAGACACATCACAATCAATGCAAAGTCTCAAATGTGTGGCAATTTACCAACATGGCAACAATCACAAGCTGCCATGAATCCTGACAAAGTACTTTGAATGTTTTCAACACGTCTTTATTAACACGCCTTAACTAAAGTACTGTCGGAAATAGAAAAAAACTGTTTTTGGGCTGTTACTCTGTATCCCTAAAATTTACACAATTGCAAATAGCATATGTTGAAATAACCCACAACGGCCTAACTGGGCGTTCAGTGGGATGCGTAATAGGATATCCAGAAAAGCAAGTTTACTCGTAAAATTGGGCAAAACTTTAAAAAATTACGAATAGCTGCTGAAAGCAATAGATCAGACTATAGATGGCAATTAGGTCCTTCAGCCAGGTATGACGATGGACCGTGGACTCACCTGGCATGAAATGCATGCGCTGCCTACAGGCGCAAGGGGTCATCTCAAAAATATTCAATGCCTTTTCTTGTACGTTGAATATGTCTCATATATTGATTAACATCTCACGTGTCTTTCTTTCATAAAGTTTATGTTGAGATATGTAAAACAGTATGATACCCATAGAAAGGCTTAAACAAGCCATCGTATTAAATGTCTCAAAATATATAGGTAGCATGGCCACCCGAAGATCGACAGGACTGGATATTATTTGTAAATTGCTACTTGCCCAGTTTAATTCCCCTAAAGGATTATCTTAACGTAGCTGATATCTCTACTCATGGTATGATGTGATATATGATAAATAAATTATCATTTCATTGTGATCAAAAAATAACAAGTAACAGAAATAGATAAATTCGTAAAAAAACTGTCTCTTTGACCATCAACTACTTCAACTAGAAGTGTCCACCTTAGATCATAGGGTTGACACTAGTTTATCATTGCATAATCAACAGTCAGCAGACCATGAAATGTTGTTTAAAGAATGTAGGCGAATTGGGACGTACGCGACTAGAGAACAACACCCCCAGCCCGACCCCAGCCACCGTCTGCGACACCCGGCCTGGTTTTGCTTTTGAGACGACCCCCCATGTCTGTTTGTTTTTATAGTAGTAGTGAGACTCCGTCGTAGCTTCATCCTTTCACAATTGAAAATATTATTTTGTACGTCAGCTATCGTTTCTAATGAAGCTAAGTCTAATTTCAAAACGGGCATTTAAAAAATGTCCATTGTAATATAATATTATCGCACACTAATTTGCATAAAGCCAAGGTCTGTTCCAAATAAGTCAACTTGGACTTGGACAAAAAACACATTGCTCATTTCTGCACTAATCTCTCCTCAGTAAAGTCCTTTTTCAACGTTTCCTATCTCCCCACCACTGAGACTGTAGTTAGGCCGAACTTAGTTTAACAGATATTTCACACTTTCACATATTAACTACATAAATTGTGGATATAAATGTGGAAAAACAGTTTTTTTCTATTTCCGACAGTACTTTAGTCAGTATTAAATACTTTCATTCAACCACACAGTCAAGACATCGAGCATAATAAACACATTTATGGGTTTTACTTTGTTAATAAACAGATTAAATGTAAAATGCAATGCATTTTCTTCCCTAAGAAAGAAATATTTGCCCCATTTGAACAATGCAAATGTAAATAAGCAAGTAATTGTATAATTTCATTAATTCATATGAGCGAGTGAGATTAGCTTAACACCGCTTTTAGCAATGTTCCAGCAATATCACAGAGGCACCAGAAATGGGCCATCTGTTTGAATTCAGCTATGTGCATGTTTAATAATATCAACAAAAAGACAATTCTGTGGTGATGGACCGACCATATCTCTGTTGTTTTACCTTGCTCATCCTTGATCATGAGGACGAAGTACCGACTGGAATCCATTACTGCCTCTACTGCAATGCTCGGGTATGCAGTGATGGGACATTCCGCAAACAGCTCACCTAAATAAGGACAGCAAAGGATAAGGAAGAACAAAGATGGCACTGACCGACAGACAAGGACAAAGATGGCACTTACCGACAGACAAGGACAAAGATGGCACTGACCGACAGACAAGGACAAAGATGGCACTGACCGACAGACAAGGACAAAGATGGCACTGACCGACAAACAAGGACAAAGATGGCACTGACCGACAGACAAGGACAAAGATAGCACTGACCGACAGACAAGGACAAAGATGGCACTGACCGACAGACAAGGACAAAGACACTGAGTATCTTTAGGATGTCCGGTGGTCTGTTCGAACTATAGTGAGTGAGTTTAGTTTTATGCCGCACTCAGCAATACTCCAGCTAAATGGGGGTGGTCTGTAAATAAACAAGTCTAAACCAGACAATCCAGTGATCAATAGCATGAGCACTGATCTACGCAATTGGTATAAAATGACATTTGTCAACCAAGTCAGCGAGTCTGACCACCCGATCCAGTCAGTCGCTTCTTACGACAAGCATGGGTTACTGAAGATCAAGTCTAACCCGGATCTTCATGGGTCTCTATCTGAAGAGAAGTAGGCTTGTCAGAAGATAAAAAGGCAATTTCCATTTGAGCTGTACCCATATCCTGTGAAGCTACACAATCTTCAACCCGGTCAAGCAATACTTTCGAATTTGCCTGGGAGGTATACAACTGAAGCTCACATATTTAATACTGGTAATGGGTTAACTTAAAATATGTTACACCAAATCAAATCAATCAAATCAAATTAGACACTTGTATAGCGCTACATATCCAGAGTCCTACCTATGTGCGCTTAGTCGATGCTCGTTTGAAGAGGATGGTTTTGAGACAAGATCGTTAACTGTTGATATTTTCCGATTTTCTGACAACAATCCCAAACACGACACAGGGGTTTGCAGGATGCAAAATCCTGAATCCTATTTATAAGCCAGAGAATCCAACAATTTAACGCCTTCAGTACCTGGACACCAATATCTAACCCCAATAATTGGCTAATGACAGGCAAAGTAGTCAGTGTGCGAAACAGAAACTGACCCGCTAGCCCATGGCTAGTAAAAATCCAGTCGGGCCAGTAAATCTCCACAGTCACTGGCCAGACTGGCTTGTGAATTTTCATGGGGTACATTGTAAATATATCACTCTCTCCGACTTGTTAAGCCATAACACACTTTTAAATCATGCAAGATTATGGCCTGATGAAAATGTTTATCATATTAACAGCTTAATGATGTAACCCGTGTCTACATTCAAATGTCGGAATAGAGAATTATTCTGTGGGCAAGTAACTTTCTGTCATAGCTATCCCTACTGACTTGCAAAATTTGGAAACTATTTCACACACTGAAAGTGAGTGAGTGAGTGAGTGAGTTATTATTTAACGTCACATCGGCAATATTTCAGCCATATCGTGACGAGAACATTTGATATTGAAATAAAATATATGTATATTAGAAAACACCTGCCGACGAAGGACAGTAAAACAACTAGAGTATCACAGATATACATGTAAAACTAGTAATTGAATCTAAAACATTTTAACTATAGGGGACAACACAATATAAAAATGGGCTATAGATCGCCACCAACTGAAGGTAGATCACCATACTAGGAACCATGGGGACTTACATTACTTTTGCTACCTGCATGGATCCTAGCTGGATTTACACCATCCCTTCAGCCGCTGGCGATTGTAGGAAAATTTAGCCAACAGTTAAAATAACAAAAATACTACGTTTAAAATGTGATAATTTATATTTTACTTTGAAAGTTTTGGGACTTACGTACCCTCTCAGACGCACTGAAAGTAGTGTATGGGCCACAGATGCAGACATGACAAGTTCAGTTTATCTTATTCAGCTGTCCACAAGTTCTTACAAATTTCCTTTTAATTTAAAATATCTCCAGGGAGTTTACCTGAATTTTTATCTTCTAGTTTAATGGACAGAGCCTTGCCCTTTGCCACAACCCTGAGTCGGCCGGTCCAGTCTGGCTGATCCAACTTCCAGTCAGCAGCTCTGCAAGTTCAATGAAAATGTTAGATGATGTTTATACTGTTCAGCCAAGAAATCAAAACTGAGCTATCCTACTGTCCCTATATGCAGGTGAGTGAGTGAGTTTGGTTTTGCGCCGCTTTTAGCAGTATTCCAGAAATATCACAGCAGGGGACACCAGAAATGGGCTTCTCGCATTGTACTCGTGGGGAATTGAACCTGGGTCTTTGGCATGACGAGCGAACACTTTAACCACTAGTATACCCCACTGGTGTCCCCTGCTGTGATATTGCTGGAATATTGCTAAAAGCGGCATAACATCAAGCTGACTTACTCACTCCAGACCAGCTTTAATCTGGCGACCTGACTGAAAAGTACTGCATTCAAAACATTAATATTATTAAACAAAAAAATACAGCCTCTTCCTCAATATTGATCCTGTTATCAGTCTAGTACAAGTGTCTTCTGCAAATTCTAAATCAGGAATTAATTGACAAAAAACAAAAGGACAAAAAAAACCCCACCAACATGACTTACATTACCTGTTTATGGATAGGTTGAAATTAGCCCTATATTTGCAGGGTTTAAGACACCAGGTAACAGAAACAGGGCCAGGAAATGTGGAGCAGACAGCTTTGCATAAACCAGTGCCCGATTCATTTCTTACATCATGAATAATCATGACTCATATTTATCTGTAACTATGACAACAGCTGTTCATCAGTATAGAAAACCCTTATTTATATTCTTAGTGAATACTGCTTTACGCCACATTTATGAATATTCCAGCAATATCATGACAGCATCAGCAGAAATGTGCTCGACCTGGCATGGAAAGGGGAATTGTTTACTCTCAGATACAACCAATTTGTTGTGTGCACAGCTGGTACATAATTGATACACGTATACTTCTTAGGTCTGGTGTTGACAAATCAAGATAATAATCCCAAGCTAAATTCCACAAGTGGTTCCTGGCTGTGCAAAGATTCTGGAGAGCCAAAATGGCAAAAAATATCCCCACCTGCCAATTCAAAAATGTTTCCTTATGTTTCCGTGATATCATGGTTTTAAGCAATTTGTTCCGTTGCTAGATATCCCTTTCAGTATCTTGAGGGATGGGGAGAATTTTCTTCTTTCTTATATTCTTCAATCTAAAATCTTTTCTGATTATAAGCTATTCCTCAGAATTTTTAGTTGAATATTCCCATTTAATGATAAGGTCTATTTCTGATATTTTTAAGTCAACATCAGGGTGCCGTTCCACTAACCGATCTTAGCCCTACGCCATTCGTAAATCCCTAAAATCCCAATCTTAGCGTGAAGTTACGATCGGCATACCGTTCCACTAACCAATCTTACCCAAGTCAATCGTAAAGTTAAGATTCAAAGTCTAAGTTGCTCATGACCAACTTAGGATAGCTAAAATCAATCGTAGAGAAACCAAAATGGTGGCTTTCCTATTCTATGTGAAAAATAAGAGCGAGCATTTCACCGAGCGTCCCCTAAAATGCCCCATGAAATGAATTTGTATATTTCTGTGATGTAAACAAACACTGCACTGAAGCCTTACAAATGTCAGGCCAGTCTGACCACTGTCGTCATGGGAACACAACCCAGTCGGTGTAACACATTTGTACAACAATATTGCAACCTCATGGTTAAGAATAGGGACAGCCATGAAGTGAACAATGTTCTGAAACAAAATGATACAAATATGTTTGATTTGACATGCACTTATTTGGTGGAGGATTCTAAAGGCAGGCCGCATGTTACTCAAGACCACTGACAGATTCTAGATAGGTTATAGAGGATGCCTCGTCATGCCTTGTTTATTCTGATTGACAAGGTTCAGGCACATAATAAAAGCTCTGACACAATTGACATTTTTTAAGTCCAGACTTAAAACCTGTTCTCAGTATATTACTTATAATCTCGGCTGTAAATACTCTCGTGTAAATTATCTGTACATAGCGCTTTGAGCATGCCCCAGGATGTGGAATAGGCACACTATAAATATGCATTATTATTATTATATTATGCCTGATACCCAGCGTACACACACACTTGCACCTGAAACCAAGGTGCTCATTACCCTAATATTTTGCTCTAGGTTTTTTCTCCACGTTTACACTTGGTTGGAAAAATACCCATGAAGGCCCGGATTAGAATATTGAACTTCAATAACCCATGCTTGTCGTAAGAGGCCACTAACGGGATCGGGTGGTCAGGCTTACATGTCATCGGTTCCCAACTGCGCAGATCGATCCTCATGCTGTTGATCACTGGATTGTCTGGTCCAGACTCGATTATTTATAGCTAAGATACATAGCGTTCACTGCTTGAACGCTCATGTTAGTGAACGCTATGCATCTTAATTAGCTAGATTATTTACAGACCGCCGCGATATAGCTTGACTATTGCTGAGTGCGGCGTAAATCTAAACTCACTCACTCACTCAGTTGGTTCGAAAACTACTTCCATCATTTGCTAGACTATGCAAAGGGAAATAACTCGTGCCTCGCATTCCTCTATCTCTCGCACGAAAGAGTCTCGATCAAAGCTGGATCGGATCATAAGATCGGGACCGGCTACGATCAGCCTAAGATCGGTTAATGGAACTTTTGGCTAAGACGATTGTAAAATTGGCGTTACTTGCTAAGATTGATCTTAGATAAGATCGGTTAGTGGAACGGCACCCAGGACACTTTGGTCATAAAAAGAACTCATGCTTTCTGCAACACCAAAGTAATTTCTCACAATTATCATTTTATTCAATCAACAGTAATGATTATGTATATAGTCATAATGCTGACACAAATCAATATCTTAATTCATACGGACACAAATACTGACTATCAGCAATCTGATAAATGACATATCTATATCTCAGGGTTTCAGGCTGCTTTGGGCAATATTCTAGCAATATCACAGTGAGGACACCAATATGGGAAATCAAACCCACATCTTCAGTTTGAAGAACGAATGATTTAACACGAGGCATCCTCATGACTTACTGTCATTCAAAATATCCACACACAAAAATCCAAATAGGGTATAACATACTGTAAGCACACACTGATTAAGTTGATAAAGTCATGAAAATGTCCTGTAGCCCTCAGGATCGCTGACATGGGTGATGCATGTCACTGTATCCTAAATTGCATAGATTGATGCTGATGATCCATCAATGGATTGTGCCAGGTGCAGACTGAATATTTACAGACCACCCACATATATGTGAAGAAATATCATATATTGCTTAGCTTGGTGTCAAACAACAAACCTTAAGCTGAGTTTCATTAGTTGAGGGCATATTGGTAAATAAAGTGTCATAATCCCTGAGAAAAGTGACTTCACATAGAAGGCGTGTTAAACTGCTAGGGAAAGCTAAACGTGCCATCGTTGTAACTGGCTCTTAGTGGGACTAATTATATGCAACACATAGACATGGTTTCACATTTTCAGTGTTTCGAGGCCGTCGTGGAGAGTTTACGGCTCACTGCTTTATCATTCCGTCATGAAAGGGGACGCAAAATTATGTTATCATTTTGATCAAAGACACATGCACTGTATTTCCATGGAAACTCCCCATTTTGATTACAACCCTTCTCGGGCCTGTCTCAATCATTCGTTCGGAATGAAAGAGCTTCGAGATACGTTTACAACCTGACACTATATTTGACAAGTGGGTCGAGAATTGTGCAGAAAACTAACCTGTGTCCTCTGTTGGAGGTTCTAGGGGGTATTCGGTAAACGAACACCTCATTTTTGACACACAACACACTCTCATACTCGGCATTCGACATGTTGGATGCGATGATGTGGAATGTGAGCTAGCTTTACTTGTTGGGATTTACGTAAACTCGTTTATCCATACAATGAAATTTGACCGGTTTTGTTGTAACGGTTGAACGAGGGGGAGCAAAAGGGGGCGTGACATGTCATTTAATTACCTGATTTGCTTACTAATGATGATAAAGATTCCATTTCATTTATATATTTCGTTTTTATTGTTATTTTTACGAATATTTGGATCACAGCGGTAATTATGATAATGTGTTGATCTCACCCGACTCCACACCATCGGACACATGGCCAGTCGGTGTCATATACCAAAATTCATTTACTATTTTCGGGAACCTTTTTTTTTAAAAGTGAGTGTTCACGGGAATTGAAATGTGAATACAAATCGACAGATGAGCTGAGAATGCACCACAATTAAAGGGATATATATGTATCATATACATTTTATTTGAATTGGTACGTAGATCTAGGACGTGTTTCTATTGTCCGAAATTACATTTTATATGATATTTATCAAATCTGTTTGATCAACATGCTCGCCGTTGTTCATTTTCAAATATAATCAATTTATCAAACTTAAAAAAAACCCAAAGTATGTGGTCTCGGGATTTGGGAGTGTGTCTTTAAACTTGTTTACCAGTGAAGGGTATACGTAAAGGTTTACATTTCGTAATCACACCTTTTGATACTTTTCGGCAAGTGTGGTCTGCTCTTTATAAGTTCAAGATCATCCTTTCCCCGCAAATATATCCATGTCAGCAAACGTCTGTTATAATAGATAATAAACACTCACAGAATTGTTGTCATGCTTTGACCATTCGTCTATATAGTTTCAATTCTAACTTCAAATATCACAAACTAAAGAACAATACAACAAACATTTTGTTCTTCCCATTTAAGGAACCCAAAGAACTCATACATTTAGCCCCGCCGTGATATTGCCGGATTATTGCTCAAAGCGGCGTAAAACCACACTAACTCATTCATAAATGTAACCTCAGAGCGTATTATATCATATAGATGTGACGTCATCGCTTACTGACGTCTGTGTGTGACGTAGCCAAAGCTCCGTTTAACGTCAGCTATTTATGACAATAAATATGTTATCATTATTCCTTTTCTTTGACGCATAGCACCAATACACATCAAATCAAGAAAAAATATTACAGACAAGATAACTTAAACATTGTTTAGAAAATGATATCTTGGAGACAGGGAACTTGGTCCACATGACAGGGTGATGGTGTCTGATTGTGACGTCACCCCATTGTTTCTCTTGTCTCCGTACATCCATGACTGCATAATGGAATCTGATGGAACTTAACGGGATTCTTGTATGAACATGACATTCAAGAGGTAGAGCTAGGTAGGTTTCACGAACTGTTTAGGACTTATCTTTATCAAATGCTTATTAAAGGGGAATTACACGATGTTAATAAAAAAAAAAACGTGCATCTATACTGTATGTTTTCATTCATACGTTTTATTTCATACTATTATTTCACTACCTGTGTCTTTTCTCTCATTTTATGCGCTTTGAGCATGCACCTTGTGGATGGATACAGTGCTTTATAAATACTCATTATTATTATTATTATTATTATTATTATTATTATTATTATTATTGTAACGATGTATAGCGGCAAACGTGGGTTTGTAAGTGAGTGTCTAAATAGCTGGGATGCATCTTTTAAAAAATACTCCGTTCCTCATCTTTGCTTTCAGGGGCGTAGCTACCATTATTAACATTAACAAAAAGCCCGGGCTTACACATAATTGTTGTTAAAAAGGTTTGGCAAGCCCTCAATACAATCTAAATATAAAGCTTTGCAACCTATCGGGCTTAGACGAAGAAAATGGCTTGCTACGCGTCTGGCTTTATGCGATTTGAAATAAACCTTTTATATCTCCAGTCTCTCGGTGACGATGTCGAACAAAGTGACACGGTGGATCCGAGCTGGCATTGAGGTGAGTTTCTGCATTTCAGCTATACATTTCAGTTTCAGCTATACACATAATATATTATGCTACTCAAAAGAAGTAACGGACCACCCGATTGTTTTTAGAGACAAACGTTAATCTGTCATAATATAGTTCATTTCTCAAGTGAGTGATTGAGATTAGTTTGGCACAACACTCAACAATATTCCAGCTACATGGTGGCGGTCTGTAAATAAACGAGTCTGGACCAGATAATCCAGTGATCAACAGCATGAGCATCGATCTACACATTTGGGATACGATGACATGTGTCAGCCAAGTCAGCAAGCCTGACCACCCGATCCCATTAGTCGCCTCTTACGACAAGCATGGGTTACTGAAGACCAATTCTAACCCGGATCTTCACGGGACTCATTTCCCAAGCCACCTTATTGTTAATCGATCATGTCAAGATAGGTAACCTATAGTAACATGAAAGAATAGAGTGGTCCCCAACTTATTTTGAGTATCATATGACTGTATACTGTTGAACGTTTAGACTTGTATAAGTCCCTAATTCAACAAATATTTGCACCATAATTTCAAGATCATAGGAATAGCAAAAAAGGTCGCCCCTATTACAAGACTAGTCACTGTCGGCTTATCTAGATTTACCTACTGAGAATTAATATACTTAGAATTATTTTTTTATTAATATACTGTACATATCATCCATGCAGTCTTGGAGCAATGTTATGTTGAACTGAATAATAACTGAACCGCGTAAGACATCCCTGATTTCGGTCCATGTCCATGTTCATCTCCGCGAAAGTGTGTATTATCCTATTTATATTTTGGAAGGTGCAATTTTAGTTCCAGAATTTACTAATATTTCTAAAGCATAAACATTATAAAATTGTATCTGTAGTAAGTACCTCACAGCTGAAGCGTGTAAGGGGATAGTACCTTGATTGTATGTGTTTCCTCTTTTACGAGCGCTTCAAGTGGAGCACTGGGCATCGTTGATCTCACTTATGTGACAGCGCCTTTTACCTCCGTCATCATCAGCAACATTATTTGTAGAATTAGCAGTAGTAGTAGCAGCAGCAGTCGTAGTAGCAGTAGTAGTAGTCGTGAGACAGAGTGGGTGAGTATGGTTTTAGGACGCCGCTTTAAGAAATATCCAGCAATAACACGGCTAGGGAAACCATAATGGGCTTCACACATTGTACCCATGTGAGGAATCAAACCCGGCGTGACGAGCGCACGCTTTAACAACTAGGCTACCCCCACCGCTCCAATAGAGCCACTGAAGTGGTGCCTGCTATCATCTTCTTCTTCATTATCATGTACAAGTAGCTGCTAACAGTAGCTCATTTCTCCTAATAGCTGTGTGCAGCTTGCTGGCGTCCTGCTAGCGCGGGGACTCTTCTGCCCCGAGCTAACAAGAGGAAGAGGCGCAGATACTGGATGATAGGGAAAGTCTTGAGGATTGGCGTGGACATATGTCGTGGACATGGAAGTTCTCTTCGAGTTGATGGTAAGGACATTTATCATGCACTCTTCATCTATCAAAAAGTTTGATAATGTTTGTGCATAACAGAAGATACGATTGCGAGGATAGGTATAGTAAAAGTTCTGATTTTGATTACATTGTTATGGAAACCCTTTCAAAATTCGGCTTATCTACGGTTATATACGGTAACTCATCGTGGCAGTGTCTACGGTAACAGACAAAAGTTGTCCTATTCGGACCGCTTTACAATCCGGACAAAAGAGTCGGTCCCAGGCCAGTCCGTAATAGACAGATTCCACTGTCTACCCATAAACATCAATGCATGTTTGATAACAGAATCTTCTTTGTTTCACCCAGGAGATCAAAAAAGCAAATCCGTGACTGGAGAAGAGGGTTGTCAAAATAAGCAAATAAGTACGAAGGACCACGACCCTACTTCCCCAACTAAAACTGTGAGCGATGGCGGACACAAACGTGAAGGGAAAGTCCGAACAAGAAAACACAAGCATAAAAGACGCAAGATATCCGGCCGGCGGAAGATGAGAGATCGCCTCCTCTGCAAGCTGCAGGCCAGGAAAAACGCAATTGACCTCAGGTCAAGATATCTTGACCTGCAAACAGTCAAAAACTCTGATGAACTCGGAATCAGTGAATTAAAGAAGGGGCCTTTTTCTGAAAAATTCTTCAAGACAAAGAGTCGGGGCAAACGGAGACATTCGCTGACTGTGACACAGATTGACAAGGAGGTGTATGAGAAGGTTCAGAAGAGATTTGGCCACTGCAAATCAGCCTGGGCTGAATGTGAAGGTCACATGCGTGATGTTGCTTCAGTGGAAGAAACGTATGATGCAGTGCATGTAAAAGGACGTCCTGGTAAAAGTCACGTTAGTAAAGCTTCAATAGGGCCAAATCATGGTAGGAACGTTGACGATCACACACAGGTCTATGATATCAACCAGGATAGTGGCAAAGAATATGAAGGTATGAGCACTCCTGGCGAAGTGAGTGGGCAGAATGAGCCGAATGGTGGACGAGATCTGGTTATCAGAGGCAAGTTTGAGTCTGAAAAGCATAAAGAAGGCACCACAGATTTGGTTGATGCTGCTGTTGTTTACGAGTCCTCGTCGGAAGAGTCTGTGATTTCCGCTGCAGAAGGGGATGCACAAGGGGTGTTCAGTGACCCTGCCTATCCCCCGATAATAAACAGGCTAACTGCCCGCTGCGTTGGTTTGGATATAGATGATAATGACGATGATGATGATTATTATGATGGGGATGTCGATTATGATGATGATGATGATGATGATGAAGAAATCACCACTGACAGCTATGCTGCTTCCTCCAAATTGACAGCACATGGTCCTGACAAAACATCAGACGAATGTTCTCACAATGATGGCCAACGAGACAGATCCTCCATACAGGATCCAGAGAGGGCTGAAGAAGATGACTTCACAAACGGATCATTTGAGATATCCGTATCCATCCGCGTTGATGGACACAAAACAACAGATTCAAATAAATCCAAAGATAAAACGCAAGACATCAATGAAGAAGGTTCAAGTGGAAAGACTCCAAGATCAAACAAGCAGGAGGCTGGGGACTGGCAGGATTTACCAGGACATGCTTCTTGGCAATCACAACCTCAGACATCTCCCACAGCTTGTCCTGAAGTTCTGGATTCATCTGTCGTGGGTGAACAGTCCGTTGTGAAGCTGACAAAAGCGCCCCTGGTCGGTGAACAGGCTAAAGACTTTCAGGGCACCATGGCCAAACCTCCACAACATCCAACTCGATTAAAGAAAAGGAAAATTCCTGGTGAAATCCAAGGTGAAGACCATAATTAAAACCACAGGCACACTTTCTGTACCAAGTAAAGTTATAATACATAATCCCCATCACTATAACAAAGGGCAGACACCCACTTATAGCCATTTGGGGGGTGACCTTGACACTGTTAGATGAAGGTGAAGAGATCCTTCAAATGATCATCAAAAAGGTATATTTATTGTTTGCCATATTGACACAGTGGAGAACAAACACCAACAGTAATCCAACTGTTTGTATGTTACATGTCTCATGGTTCTTCTTCATTGTTTCAGGGCAAGAGAATACTGTTGAAGATCAAGTGAACATTTCATAGCAAAGCCAGTACAGAAGTTGTAGTGTACTGTTAATAATTCTTCATACACTGAGAAGATCAAGATTCAAGAAGCTTTCTTGTTCACGTTTTAGTTACAAAACATGAGTGTGTTTGAGAGAGAACTTTTGTCTTTAATATATATATGTATCGCTAATGACATGCAATCGTAACAGAATCATAATCAACATGAAATGAATCTTTCATTTGATAAATTCATAATGTGTGTAACAAATAATTGAGATTTAAATTCTGGGGCCACTTAAGGTCTGTAAAGGGAATACTTGCAAAATAAGCGAGTATCTGGAAGCTATGTTTTTTCTGTTTTCTAATGTTATGTTTTGTTTTCTCTCTGCATTCATTGGCTGTCATTGACTTCCATCTAACATATAAATATCATATTTTATGGATATATTCATAGCTTACAAAATGTCTCACCATAACATACTGGGATTCAGTATTCATATCACAAAGACAATGTTAAAATAACATGATCAATGTTCATGTCACAAGGAAAATGTTTCCAGCACACACACAATATCAAGGTCATGTACATAATGTGAAGGTCATGAAGACAATGTCAAGGTGATGACCACTAAAGTCGAGGCCATGAACACAATGCCTAGGTCATGAAGGCAACAATGTTTCTAAACAAGAGCTTCTCCACCATTATGTGTTATAAACTGTTTTTATTACTTGAAAATTACTGAAGTAAATGTATGGTCTCACTGTTTCGATGTAGTTCTTTTGTTGAAGTGTGAATGTCTGCAAGGCATTTCTGGGAAGTTGAGCACAGCTATTACATGTGTGGATTAAACATCAAGGGGATTGCATATTTGTTGCACTCAACAATATTCAAGCTGATATTGATGGCCATCTGTAAATGATCGAGACAATCCAGTGATTGAAGCACGATGAGCATCCATAGATGAATTGGGGGTGAGTGAGTGAGTGAGTTTAGTTTTACACCGCTTTTAGCAATATTCCAGTAATATAAAGGCTGGGGACACCAGAAATGGGCTTCACACATTGTGCCCATGTGGGGAGTTGATTCCCGGTCTTGGGCGTGACGAGCGAATGCTTTAACCGCTAGCCTACCCACACCGCCCCTGGATGAATTAGTGAAATACTGACATGCATCAATGGAATAAGCGAGCCTGGTCATCTTTCACAAACATGGGTTGCTGAAAAACAATTCTAACCTGGATATTTAAGGGTCTAACAAAGGAATGTCTGCAGAATGTGATGTTTAAAGCTCCATTCAGCAAAATTCAAACAACATGATGTAAAACCTTTCCAACTGCCCCTTGTGACAGAATAAATGTAAATAAAAGATGACATGCATGAAGACATGATTTATTGCAAAATGTTTGTATCATTTGACAGAGAACATTACAATACTGACAAAAACATTAATGGATTTACAAAGAAGCACTATTTCCTGCTTGTCACAGTGCCATCTGAAGAGAAACATGCTGGGTACAAACATATACAGAGGAACTCGATTCAAGTGATTTGTTAAACCACCCCGTTGGCTACCAAATGCAGATGCAGTATTTCTTAGTTTAGTTGTTACTCGGTATCAAACTCAGACAATGTCCAATGTTTACACATGGCATTTACACATGTCTGGAAAAAACAAACAAGGCCATTGACAAGAGTTCCTCTTTAAGCATTTCTAATGGAACAAAACCCATTGTCTAAATATTATTCTTCAACATAAACGTTTTCTAAATAAATGACTTAAAGTTTTCCTGATCAAGGTCAAGAAACAGCCTCTTTCCATTCTCAAAATGCAATCAAGTTCAAAGTTTCTTGGGAACCAACAAGTGAACAATTTTTCTGAAAATCATTTTCAATGACCTGAGGTCCTTTGTCTGTCACAGACATTAATATAAAAAATAAAAGAGAGATCCCTTCAAATGGCACTATGGTTTGACAAACGCCCATATTCTATCACAGTTATACAATAATATTAGTATTTGATCAGAGCATATTTGTTCGATGTGAGATTCAATAGCCATTAGCACTGAGTATTCATTTTGATTCAAGGACACATTTACAGAAATATTTCACGTCAAGCGGACTGTAAGCCACTGCTGTATAGTGGTGGTCCAATTAATTGAAATAATCGAAGATTGGTCGCAATGACTAAACGACCAAGCAATCGATCACATTTTGTCATAATCGAACACAAACAAGTTTGTAACAAGTTTATAACACTTGTTTGCATTAACAATATTTTTCGCAAGGTTGGTTTTGAATGTTACGTTTCATAAGCACTACAAGCTCGTTCCAAGTCGGGGATTAAATTTATCTTGAAGACTCCAGGAAATTTATGTTCCTAACATACTAGTCATCTTTTAAAGAGGTGAAATTTGCACAAAAAAACCCTGAAAGAACTGCATTTTTTTTCATTATTTTTGTGTGCATTAACAAACATAACCAGGACAATTTGATAAATGATGCTAACCAATTATTTTCGATGATTGATCGGTTGTAATGGACCAATCATCAATTATGAGATTTTAACCAATTCCCAACACTACTGCTGTAACAGATGATGATGAAAAGACTCTCAAATCCCAAACTCTGTCTGAGTGAGAGCTTAACGATTAAACATATGCTACTGTTTGCCTAAAATTCATGGCACAGTTTGACATGACAGTGAAATGTTTGTTTTCAACTAATGTGGATGTAAGGCAGTCAATGAAATTGGAAGAATGATTCAACCGAGCTTATCATATACTGCAGTTATAGTTTGGTATAACCGTTCAACACAGATTTGTGACACTTTTCATAAGCACAAAATCAAAAAGTGTGATGTGTGAATATATAATTTGGGATACACTGTACATTGAAGATGCAAGTGCTACAAACATCATATAAATAAAGACAATGGAAGACATAAATACCACAGTATTTGAAATAATAAAGTGTCATGAATGTATTTTCAGAAAATGGTTGTACTGAATGCATCTCGTCACTATCTGATACAGCACTTTACACTGAAACATGACACTGAAAAATCAAAGCAACTAGTTCATGCCCAAAATATAGCTTTCAAAATGATATCTCGTACAAGCTGAAATGAAAATACAATCTGTATGATTCCCTCAAGCTGTGACAATGGCACCCAACTATTGGTAACTAAAAACCCTCGTTGGGAATCTTGAGTTTCTAGTAACCATAAGAACCAGATTAACACCTCATTATCTCACATGGAATTTTGGTATTTATGTCATAACACCTCCTTTACTCATTTTGAATTCTTCAGTAGCAAGCACCTAACCAATACCTGTCGAGTTCATATACCCCAAACATTATATTTACCCAATGACATTTACCAATCATTTCACAACTTTGCCATGAAATGAAAACAAATTTAACAATACTCAAGATCAGAGAAGTGCAGTAACTGTCAAAATTAAAATCCATATGAACTCATAACTGATTTACAAGTGCTCAAGGGCAATAAATGTTTGTTATATGTAATGCACACACTAGTTCCTCTAACATAATACATAAATACATCATAAATAGAAGAAAGGGACTGTAGCTCACCTGTGTTTGATGACATTTATTCTAACAATAAACGCTTCAACAGAATAACAAAATTCTTTACTATCTTTCAACACATAAATTATACAAAAAAGGTTCAAGAGAAGGGACTAGATGTTTGACCAAAAGCACTGACCAACACAATACACAGGTCTTTGAGGTCAACTGATAGTTGCTATTTTAATAACAGGGCAAAAGAAAGTTCTTAATTTAGCTTCTAGAAAATATTTCATTAGGCCAGACCAATTTTATTTCTTGTTTTATGGATACGCTGGTCGTATTTTTTCAAGAATAAGGAGAAAAAATAATTAAATTTTCCCGCTCTAAAAACAAAATCCTAATGTTTAGATTTTCGGGAGTGAGAATTTCCCTACACCAGGCAGTTTGTTGGACACTAAAACAATGGTACCTGTTCTCAGAGACTCTTAACCGAATTATCTAACAATATTTGTGTTTGAAATCAGTGCTTCGAGCACCTCAGCGAGTCTTAACTTGAAAAACAATGCTCTTGAAAAACTCATGTGGGTTTTTGTTTTGATTGGTGATTTTTAAAAAAAAAATTCCTCCTGCATTTAGGTTTTCTGAGGACAAACTATCAGTAAAAAGCAAGAAATAAAATTGGTCTGGCCTTAAGGTTCAGTTGTTAGTCACCGAGGGATTATTCAAGCTGTTGTTCATGTAGGAGGCTTCCATAGTAACTGTATGGCAGGTGTACAATGTACAAATTTGAAGTGGACGGATATTACAAATTCTTGCATTGGTTTTCTGAATTGTACTGAATGCTCATAACATTGATATGCAACAAATTTCAGACAAAATATTTCATTAATGCTGTTTACTGTTTCATCCAGGTTTCATGAGTTGAGATCCTGACATGAAATTTGTTTACGAGTTGCTCACTGAAATGTACAATCACACGTTTTCAAATATCATGCCATTAAATGTAATCTACACTTTTCTTAGTCAGAACATATACTGTAACACTGAAAATCAACAATAACCTCCAATTCGAAATATATGACAAAAAAATATTTAGCACATCTCAAAACTCATAACTTTGAGATTCAAACCATTTAACAACACTTTTGTGTTTGGTTGGTTACAAGAGCATCTTAATTTCCTAAAGTTGCCATTTTGCCAAATATATATCAAATTCAAAGAAGCGTTTTCAAAATGTGTCGGTACAACTTTCTGTTTACTGATATGTACATGTAAAAAGTGCACATTGCAAAAACATGAGACAGCCTGATGACCTTACTTGTTTAAATATCACATGACAAAAACAACAGAGTTCGGACCTATGGAATGGTTCTCTGTGTGACTAGGCATTATCCACTTCATGCCAGTGGATTGTATTAGTGTTGAATCGTATGGAATATCATACTGGAGTGGAGAGAGGTTCGGTGTACAGAGGTTCAGGTTTAGAGAGTTTGCTGTTCTTGGATGAATTCCAAGCACCATGTTCCATTCATGTTTAATAATGAGTGAGCATGATTTTATGCCTCTTTCAGCAATATTCCAGCAAAATCACTGCGGGGGACACCAGAAATGGGCTTCACACGTTGTACCCATGTGGGGAATCAAACCCGGTCTTCAGTTAATGAAGGATCTCTTTAACCACTAGGCTACCCTACCATCCTGCGCCAAGATTTTCGAAGCTCTCTTAGCGCTAAGATAGTCATAAGTGCCATACATTAACATTAACTTACGACTATCTTAGCGCTAAGAGAGCTTTGAAAATATAGGCCCTGTTTGATATTGAAACATTCAGTGAAGAATGGTGTGTTGAGCCACACTGCCCACAGATCCTTGTCAGTGTTACAACTACCCCATAAAGGTCATAATGCAATTCAGTATATAACATCCAAAGTTTACGTGACTAAACTAACCGCTACAACTAGAAACACTAATAACATGAATGAAAAAGCATAAATTGAAATTCAAACAAACTTCATACCAAACAGACTTTTTTTTCACATTTCTCAAATATTTGTTGCAACTGAATAATAATCCATTTCTGATCCAAGAATACAGTCACCGTTTTTACTGTTGAGTATTTTCCAATTCCTAAATGAAATATTACTGTACACATTCTACATAATAAAACTACTTAAAAATCATACCTGACCCAGTATGCGGTAACTTATATATATTGCTCATTTAAAAAAAAACTGTTTACAAGACATTTTTGATAAAAAGTTAGTTACCTATAATATCCCTTAAAGCCTCAATTTTACCCATAGTTTCATTACAGTCTAACCAAAACAAGATGGGCAGTAAGCTCACCTTGAGAAGAGCTTTCTTTATGACAAGCCCCAAATAAGTGTAAGTACCATTTAATTTTGGTTAGACTGTATCAGTACGGCTGAAGTCCTGACATCCTGGAAGTAGTTGTATTAATCTCGCCTGATGAGTTGGAAGTGACCTGTTGGGTCAGGTATATAGTATTTTTCCCACAGTTCTGAGTGTTGAGCGCTGCGTCCCCATGGCTTGTAGCGGCCGCTCCAGTGGAGCAGCTTGCCTCCCTGAAGGAAGTGGGCGGTGTAGCTGGACCCGGGAGTCAAACCTGGAATAGTCACATGCATCATCATCATAATAATGTGTTGTTTACAATGCGTCAAATCTCCAGCCAAAAACATGCTCAAACTGTTCATTCTTATTCCCGTCGAAGGAATGATGTGCACATTTTCATTTTCAACTCCCTGGGAAGTATACAAGCTGCCTGTGAGGTGATAGAAGTTTCACAATATGAATGAATCTGGACCACACAACAGTATATTGATGCTGATTCTGCTGATCACTGGATTGTCTGATCCAGACTCAATTATTTACAGACCACTGCCATATAGCTAAAATATTGCTGAGAGCAGCATAAAAATACTAACAAATTTCAATATTAACAGTAAGATTACTATCTTACTATCTTATCCAACATGCATGCTTAACAACTCCTTCTCACTGGATTGGAATGACATACAATGAGAAAGATGTTATTGTAACAGTTGAACTAAGACATCCATGTATAGACTTATCACAATGGCATTTTATCAGCTTATCAGACAACATTGTAACAAGACAAGATCACAGCCTCCGAATCACTACACATGACCTGACTGTACAACACCACCATGTAATCAGCTGCATCAAGACACCATCTCAGAATGATGATGGTCAAATCATCACATCAGTTTACCGAGACCTCATTGTAACTGAACCCAAACATCATCATCTCAGCTTGACATCTTATCACAACCCAAACATCACAGGGCTCCAGATAATTATTTTGACTCAGGGGTATTCCACTCCTCAAAATTACAATTGAGGAGTAAAATACCATACGGAAATAAAAGGAGGAGTATTTCACAGGCTGCATGGTTTTATTATTTTTCCTTGCTAACTGAAACAGTTTTCCTTTAAAAAAACTAGACGAGGCTCTTTTGGTTAGTCATTCTTACTGCAGACGACAGGAAATAAATGACAATACGCGTTGGGCAATTGCGCATTAAATGATTTCATACGCTGGTTTAAGGCCATCACGTAATCCACAGTAGCCCTAAAGCTGTATTATATCTGATACGGACCGGAAACATTGTGATAGTAACGCTTTTTAAGGGCTAGCTTTTAAACTAATTGTGAACCAAACGTGGATTAGAAATATTAACGGCGATCAAATGGAAAAACCCGACAATCTTCGCTTCAATACAGACAACCAACACTATTCCAGATCTTATGATAGGATGTGGAGACTGAAACAATATGACAGCTTCGGTTCACGCCATGTAAACAAAATCTGACTCTTATTCTGAGAATGTTAGGCGTATCTCTCACTCATAGACTTTAATGCATACATCTGAATTATGCATGCATAATTTACGCAGATACGTATCTTATTTGGAGCCATGCATCTTCATATTATCTGTTGACAACAAATGCAACCAACTGGTACTTTTGAGCCCATGACATATTGGATTATTCATATTAGTTTCCATATTAACCAGGGCGCTGGGGCAGCCTAATGGTTAAAGCGCCCGCTCGTCACGCTTAAGATACAGGTTCGATTCCCCACATGGGTGCAATGTGTGAAGCCCATTTCTGGTGTCCCCTGCTGTGATATAGCTGGAATATGGCTAAAAGTGGCGTAAAACCATACTCACTCACTCACTCACTCCATATCAACCCAAGTTTCTTCCCTTTGGAACTGTGTTCCAAGGCACAAATTGAAACCCACAAACATGAATATGGTACTGACAGAACTTGAATTGTTTTGGAGCCAACCAGGATTCAAACCAACCATCACAGATTACAACACAGTGATGTGCAGCACCTGTACTAACTGTCACCCATGGCCCCAAGTTAAACACAACTCACTCACTCGCTCATCAGACACATCAATACAAGAACACAAAGCAGTATTTACACAAAGTTTGACAAGATCTAAGTGTGACTTGGTGATGGCACCATACTGCTATGGATTTAAGGACACAGAAGGGTCTTCCTGAGAACTGCAGTGATGGCCACAGTGAACTTACCAAGGTGTCGGACATTCCACATGGGGTTGATGTTAGAGAACAGCTTGTGGAAAACCAGCATCATTGGGGGCTGAGATCCTCCTCCTCCCTTTTCATTACCATAAACCTCCTCTCTGTAACCATGACAACAAGGAAACTTATAACAGTCTATTTATACTCAAATAGGTTGTACAGTCAGCATTAATACAATAATGCAGTTGGTAAACCTTCAGCATGCTCATTGTATCACAACAATATTCCTCCAGCAACAAATGCCTGTGCTTGTTCTAACTTCTGTCTGACATTCAGTGTCCAGTCATCTACTGGGAAGCTGTCCTATGAAAATGGTAACCATAGTTAAAACCGCCACAGTCACGTGTAGGGATCAAGTAACTAATACGAGAAGGATCAAAACCGACTCCGAGGTTTTGATCGAACTTATGAACTGACCGAAGATATTCTTTAGATATAATTTTAATATTTTGTATTTACTGATGAAATCAACTTGGATGCGACTGGCAGCCAATACCTTGCCTTGCACGTGCAATACATGTGCTCTGCATGCCTTACCTGTGTCCTGCACGTGCGCTGCCCACACTACCTGTCTTGTGAGGAACACATGGTTCATACTGACAAACAATCTCAATCTTCACAGCGAACCTTCGTAGCCTAGTGGATAAAACCGCCAAGCTAGTTAATGAAGGGTTGCAGGTTCGAAACCAGGCATCGTCACAATATATTGGACGTTTTCAATAATGTGATATTTTACGATCGTATTCAGTAATAGCAAGACAAAGTCTTCAAAACAAGTAAAATAATTCAAAGTCAAGGGCTATTCCTCAGAAAATCCCCATGATGTGGTCAATTCTGTAGAAAATACCCGGGATTTCTTGGAGAAAGCCTGCGAAATTGCCTGTATAGTCAGTCCATTTGAGTCAAAATCTCCCCAATGAATTTCACTCTAACTCAAAAACAAATAATCGTAAATGACGCGTGTTACACCATTGTCACAAATCTTGAATTATCAAATGAAAATAATGATGGTTTGTTACACAACTTTTATATTTTGTTGACAAAAATTATAACAAAATTCTGCAGAGTTGGTGTTTTTCCTATTTACTTTGGCGTTGGTTTAAGTCATTTATGATTATTTGTTTTTGAGTTAGAGTGCAATTCATTGGGGAGATTTTGACTCAGACAGACTGTAGAGGTTTACTCGATAAAAGGAGTATCTGACGAGACAATAGAGTGATGTCACTGGAGGTTTATAATTTTGTCAGAAGGTTGCTAACTGAACCAAACACAGTCCAGTCTTGTTCAGTAGAAACTACATAACTCCAACCTGCAAAAGAACATTAAGTGGGCTTTTGATCCATGTTACATGGACAAATTTATCATTTAACTACACAGGAAAAGGCAATACAAGTTCTCTGATGCCCATGGCTCTGTACCTATACTAGTATATAAGTCACTTTGTTTTGTGAAGTATTCCTCTGCTAAACTCCCAAACTTCAATGCAACAAAAAGTCAACCAAAGGCCTTACTTGACATTCAGTTCCAGCCATGACTGCAGCTTCTTGGTGATGTTAAACTTCCTCCACAGGGACAGGTCAGAAACAAACACACCTGTGTTAAAGGCACACTCTGTTGGTTTGATACCCATGCTAACAACCGCCTTGTGTTTGAAGTCTATGTAGTTGGCATAATTGTTCTGTGGAAAGAAAAGTGAAGTTGTGCAATTCTACAGAGACTTTTAAAAAATGTTTTGGGTGGAATACACATCTGACTTTGCCCTTAAGACACAAAAAGAACACTAATTTATTGCCTAAAGGATTAAAATGTTTTTAAATAATAATTGTTCAGATACAGGACAAAACAGGAAACATGTTCTGCAAAACTGTCAAACTTCTGTCCGTGACATGCAATGTAATTGGAACTTTTCAAAGTAAACCCACCAACTTAAAAACCCAATGTCTACATACATAAATCGTAGTGAATAGCTGCAAAATTGCTGATGCGGTGTTAAGCAATATTTCACTCACTCATTCACTCCAAATTTAACATTTGTTCAGAAATTGAAGCATGTGTAACCACATTCTTGACATGATGGCTGAGTTTAACACTTAATGCCTGGTTCACATATGGCCTGTGATGGGTCTACGGTACCCGTAAACTGTCCGTAACTCCATTTCCGTGTGGATGAGATGTGGCGGCAGGGGGCGGTTGTACAATCATCACACAATTCTATGGGCGCCGTAGCCTCTACAATTTTGTCAAACAGCGAAATTTGAAAAAATGTAAGCCCATAGCCTGTAGGTGGCATTGCACGGCCACCACACGAAGGCCGCATGGTCATTGTGCAGTAAACGCATGATTTTTTAGTTCCAAAAATTCGTATGGCAATCATGGGATACCCGCACGACCATCGCACCGCTACCGCATAATCACCGTGCGGTGCCCGTGAAATTGCGGTCATCCCATGGCAGCCTTATGATAGCTGTGCGACAGCCTTATGATGGACCAATCATTTTTACCATGTGTATATACATGAACAACAGTTCTATCATTTGTCTCAGTTCGTGAGAGAGGTCCAAGATGTACGTGGTAAACCGATTTCCGCTTGACCTCTGCACACGCTGCTTGGGCTCCGTATGAGCTGAAGAAACCGCATGGAAACTGCACGATCTCTGTAAGATCTCCGTACTCTTTCTGTGCAGTCTCCATGCAGGTTTGCCTCGATGCCCGTAGACAATGTGAAATCAAATGTCATGACTGACTGACTGACTTTAGTTTTACGCCGCTTTTAGCAATATTCCAGCAATATCACGGCGGGGGACACCAGAAATGGGCTTAACACATTGTGGCCATGTGGGGAAACGAACCCGGGTCTTCGGCGTGACGAGCCAATGCTTTAACTACTAGGCTACCCCACCGCCCCTCAAATGTCATGACCCGCAGTCACCCATGATGCCTAAAAAATCGTACTGAAAATCATAGACTACTTTATTGTACAGCGCCCGTGGCAAATGTGATCCAGCTGTAAGGATCTAGACATGTGCAGGCAAGCTAGTTTATCATTTGGTCAATCTTTACTCCAGAAGGCTTTATTTACAAGCGAGTGTGATGTGGTGTCACTTGGCCCGAGATATTCAACTGTTGTAGCCTGACACTCTCAGAGAACAAACCATGTGTTCATCAGAACTTATTGGATAACTATAAAGAACAGAGATAGAACATTGAATTGAACACCAGCAAGTGCTACCTCCATGTGGGAGAGATGTTTCCCCACTCCAACACAATCTGAGGAGAAAGCAGCCAGGTGATCAGGGTCTATCTTCATGTTGTAGAGTTCCGATATATCACCTAGGCAACAAGATGAAGACGTTTCAGGGAGTGATGGATTATGGTTCAAGACTACAGATGCGGTACAAATCACAGATCACAAATACAAAGATTCATGGTGACATATGAACCAGTTGATAGTTTTGCTAGAAACAAATCTTACTCTCATCTGAGCATATACAAAGAAATTGACTCCATAAGCTATTCATTTCTCAAAAGCGGTTTTCAGATTTGAAATTAAAGGGATCCTGTAATGATGTTCTTTAAATGACATCTATCGGGGTTTCCTAGGAATCAGTGTCTGATGTTCAAAACATCAATCAAGGGCCATAACTCTGTAACATTTTCAACTACATCAACACATATACTGAGGGAAACAAATAAAGGAACACATGAAAGCACAAGTGTTCCTTTATTCTTTTCCAGGTTTCTTCACACTCTTTGTATCACACTGTGGGTGCAAATCTGAAAATAAATAGAGGAACACTGTGATGAAGTGGTGTTCCCTTATTTGTTTCCCTCAGTATATATCCCTAAAGATGAACCCAACATGTCATCATTTTATCTGCACTGGTTTTCAAAACGACCTTGTCTCCATTGATTTACTTCAGATGAAATGATGGAATTCATCGCCATCATCTTACCTTGCACAATGCAGTCATCATCGATGAAGATAATTCTGGTTTTCAGCTTCGGAAACAGCTGCGGAAGGTAGTATTTGGCGTAGTTCATCTGAGAGGAAAAACACAACAATGTCAAATTTCAGCTAACTACATAGATTATCGAATGAAATATTCTTTTACATTTTCGAAAAATGTAATTTTTAGAGGAATATATTTGGTTTAATTTCAGTCAAGATACACTGTTGCTGTCAGTTTTCTTAAAAAGAAAAAGAAAAAACAAGAGTCATCAGAAGATGACAAATCCCCCCGGCCCTCACATATTTTAAAGAACAAATCATCTGAAAGTTACTTAAAGCCCCACTTGATTAATTTTAGAGCCCTACTTGATTAATTTTAAGACTAGGAAGTCCAAATCGTTCCATGGAAATCATGAAAAATACAAATAAATAGCAAAAGGCACCACTTCAAGATCTGTTTGATAAGTTTGCCAAGTCTTGAAGAAAGATATTGAAAGGTTTGCAAGTTGTGCTCCGGAAACAAAACCCATCCCTCCCTTTTGAGACTAAGTCCAAATCGTTTCCATGGAAACCGGGAAAAGAAAAATTGGCAAAAATCTGTAAACAGCAAAACGCACCACTTCAATATCTGTCTCATATATCTGCCAATGTCTGTTGAAAGATATTGAAAGGTTTTCGAGTTGTGCTCCGGAAACGAAGTCCCACCTCCCTTTTGAGACTAAGTCTGAATTGTTTCCATGGAAATCAGAAAAAGTAAAAATGCCAAAAATCTGCAAATAGCCAAAAGCACCACTTTGGGATCTGTCGCATATATCTGCCAAGTTCTGTTGAAAGATATTGAACGGTTTTGAGTTGTGCTCCGGAAACGAAGCCAACCCATCCTTTTTGAGACTAAGTCCGAATTGTTTCCATGTAACCGAGAAAAATTTAAATGACAAAAATCTGTAAATAGCAAAAGGCACCACTTTAGGTTCTGTTGAATATATCTACCAATTTTTGCTGAAAAATATTGAACGTTTTTGGAGTTATGCTACGGAAACAAAATGATTACGGACGGGCGGACAGACGGACGAGGCGTCGACTATATCCAACAAACAAACAAACAAACCAACAAACTAACATAAACTCCCACTTTCCTGAACAGCAGTATCCCTGTAACAAATGGTAATTCCCTAAGCATGGTCAGAAAAGTAACTGTAAAATACTTGAAAGGGAGACAACTACTTACTGGACTGGCAAGTTCTTGGCGACCACCTCTCACTTTTATCTTCCCAGCCACCAAATCTGCAGGAAATCCCTTCAGTTCATAGTTTATAGTCTTAAGTTTGGTCTCCTTAATCCATATGCTGAAATCAGATTGAGAATAGATTATCATATTGGTCAGAAGCAGGACATGCTTCCTGGCTTGCTGGTATAACAGGATGAAAGGTTTTTAGGAGGTGACAGCCATGGCCAATGGTCGCGGTCGCAATCCACATGGCCCTAAAGTTCATCTGAATTATGAGGAAACCATGGCAACCAAGTTTTAAAATTCATTGGATATCATAAGCATATTTTACAGACACCATAACTGAGATCATCTGTTCAAATCAAAAGTCCAGCTCCATAGGCCTTGAAGTCTCATTGGAGCTGTCAACAATACAACAGCACTAGGAAAATGGAAGAAGCTTGACTTCGACTGAACAGTAACAACAGCAACAGCAAGACGTTTACATGTATTGCACCAGATTCCATTCACCAAATTGCTGGTCACAGCACTACATATGTTGTAGCAGGAATGAGGAAGAAGGGGTAGGATGGCGATTAAGGGTTGGGTAAAGCCAAAATTTTCGTATTGCGATATATTGCTATATGTGTTGGTGTATTGCAATATGTATTGCAATATATTGTGAAAGTGTAACACATGGGTTAATGTAATGAAATTGCTGTTTCCTTTCGTTTGAAACAATGCCACCGGAATCAGATGTACTTGTACAAGAGATCAATTGAAAATGTTTCCAAACTGAAGACTTCGGAAGACTTTGGAACTCGATAAAAAGCATTTGCATCGGCGTCTGCCATTTTGGTTTACCCTTACCAATCTATTTTTTGTATTTATATGGTTTAAAAGTCACGGAAATGCAATTATATGAACAATAAACATTCTCAAAACTATTAATATATAATAATATAAAGAAAATAGAAATGTTATTAGTAGTTTTGACTACATCACGAAAATTACCGATCGTATCGGGTGATCCGGTTCGCGAAAAGTGTACCGCAATACATGGTATTGTGAAGTTTGAATTGCAATATATCGGTTAACCGGTATTATTTCCCACCCATAATGGCGATGCACAATTCAGACTACATAGTACTGTCTTAAATATAGGTCGTTAAACGGCCTTGAACGCAGGGAGTGATGGTCAGAGCTTTAGATGTGTTGTCAAAGTTTCATTAAGTGGCATTTAGAAGGTGGTATTATGAAGAGGAACAACTTTTATGGATTGACAACTTCTTTATTGCATAGATGTAAAGTTTTGGTGTAAATGCTAACTTGTCTGATAACGCTGTTATCGTGTAACACCGAAATGTCGCATCTGTTTCAATAAAGAAGTTTATCCTTAAACTTTGTTCCTGTTCTAAAGTATTGGGGCACAGAATATGAAAGACCTATGATCAAAAGTCTTGTTGGTTGGTTTCTGGAACATTCACTTTCAGAATGGAGAGTTCTACATAATCTGTAACAAATAGTGTTATTCTAATACTTCTGTTCTCAAAACATTCTGTATAGAGGCCAAGACGATGTAAATATTGCCCTTGTACATACCTGATCTGATCCATGCTGGCCAAGTCAGAGACGATGTGGAACATGACAGGGCTTTTGGTGTTGGCGACGATGCTGTTGATGAGGGCGATGGCACCACCCACAGTGTTCTTGGATGTGCTGATGCACACGTGGACAACATCAGGGGAGGAGGGGTTGATGTTGATGTTGCTGGACAGTTTGTCCATGGCAGCGTCTTTAATAGATCCAGTTCCTCCATGGAGTTTTTCTACAAAGGGAGTGAGTGAGTTGGGTTTAATGCTGCTTTCAACAGTGTTCCAGTTACCCAGAGTGTCAGATTGGGGAGAAAAAGGAGAATGATGATCACAAGCGCAGGTACAGGTGCTGACAAACCTTTTAAAACATAATCAGGGAAAAATTAGGATTTGATTCCAGACTCAGAGGCTCCTGGGGTGTCAAAGGCACATAACTCTACACGCTGAGTTCTGTCACCTTAGATGACAAAATGATTGAAACTGTAGGGAAATGTAGTCAGTCAAGATATCTATCCTGAGATTTGCTACAGAGGGTTGTCTCCCTTAGGTATGTCACTGCAAGCATCAAATGATGAAGAAATAAGAACACAATGGCCTGCGCAGACAAATTTGAAATACATGTCTATTTGTCTTTTCATAATTTACTCTTACATTACATTCTTTTTTCTTCGATGCATGATATTTTAACATGGCATTCACTTCAAATCAATGGCCTAAAAAATAAGAATTGAAGCCTGTTCATGAGGCATGCTGCTAGTGTAATACCTGTCACCTCAACTGAGCCATGACATCAAGCATAACCATGGCAACTTGAATTGGTAAATATTTAATTCCAATTGTGGAATTTATACTCATACAGTGCTCTCTGTCTAATTCGGACCAGCTTGGGACCGACTAAAAAGTCCGAATTATACAGTAGTCCGAAGTACACAGATTTTAATGGAGTTATCTCCCTATTATCAGCAGAATTAAAATTATAAACTATTTTTCGCAATGTTATTGAAAACAACGATTCTCGGACACCTGCTTCGGCAGCGGGTCCACAATATCATTGTCAAAGAGCAAAGTAACGATGTTAGAGGAATTCATGAAATAAATTGAATAAACTAATGAATGAAATCAACAACAACATTCATAAAAGTTGTCAAACGTACATATAAAATTACTATTTCCATCTTTTTGTGCGATCATGTAATGTCAGTCAAGTCACTGACAAGTGACATCTCGGCTCTCGCCGCCTCAATCTTCACACTCGGACACGATGTTCAATGTGAAAATATAAACATGAAGCATTTTTGTCACAGGTCATAGCCTAGCACGATAAGTCGAATACGTTCCATAATTTACGTATAGGTAGCAATTTCTTACTTAATATGTTCAGAATAGCATTATTTTACCCAAAACTTTCGTCTATATCTAAAAGTTTTCGTTTACGAGGACGGTATCCATTGCCGTAATATGATTGGCTGCCTTGGGTCATGTGTCCGATTTTGACCAATCACTACCCTTATAGCAGACAGTGGCGAAAAAGCTTCATTAGAAACCAATCTTTATCCAATAAAATCGCTTCTTACAACTGATTGATATCACACTGTGTCTGATGCCATCTTAAATGCATAGTGACATTGACACTGAGTTGACATTATCGGCTCAATTATAGTTTACAATTGGTGTTAGTCGCATCAAAGGTAAATAAGCGTTCACCGCTAGACCACGCGGTCTTGGCCAAGCGGACTTCCTGCTAAGTAAATAAGACAAAATACACAAACCAATCAACGGAATGTTTATTCAAGGTTTATTGGCCAAGCGGACTTCCTGCTCAGTCCGAATTATATAGCAATGTATTTACATGTAACTACCTTATCGGGCCGACACTTTGGTCCGAAATCCAAAATAATGAGAGTCCGAGATACAGAACTTTTTTCTTATGACAACAAAGAAGGATTACGTCGGGACCGTGAGTTCAGTCCTGTTTATACAGCAATCCGAGTTTGACAGAGTCCGAGTTTGACAGAGTGCACTGTATTGGCTTCAGACCTGCACCAAATACTATCCTCTGTTTGTCTGCATATAACACGACACTCAGCAATATTCCAGCCTTATGGCGGGGCTGTGTAAATAATCATGTCTGGACCAGACAATCCAGTGATCAACAGTATGAGCATTGATCTATGCAACTGGGATACAATGACATTATCAACCAAACCAGCGAGCCTGACAACCTGATCCCTTAATCGCCACTTACAACAAGCATGGGCTGCTGACGACCATTAATAACCCGGACCTTTACGAGTTTTAGAGTCTGAGAAGGTCTAAAAAAACATACAAGTTGGATTTGAAACACCACATTTCTAAGAAGTCATCCTGACAGAGACAGCCTGTCCACTGAATGTTATGGTAAAATCTACTGTATAGACACATTTTGACTTGTCTTTTCATAGACATTATAAAATATGATAATCACAGTGAAGTACTAAACTATTAGAATAACGCATAGTCCCTGAATATATATAATTTTGCTAGTAACAAATAAACCCATTTAAACTGAAAAGGAGCCCCAGTGAGTTGGGAGATTCAGGGGAAGTCAAGACTTGCTTCATTTAGAGCTTTAGCATTGCAGGGAAGGCTAGGCATTACGGAAAATAATGTGGTTCAGGGACTGTGAGACAGATTAATGAACTACAGTAGAACACGGATATAGCGAACACGGATATAGCGTACAAACGGATAAAGCGAACAAACGGATATAGCGAACAAATTTAAAAGTCCCGTCAACAGTCCTTTATAATATCATTAAAATTATACGCGAATAACGAACTCGTGAGTAGCGAATTAACGGCTTTAGCGAACTGATTTACTACCCCCAAGCCCCAATTAACGACGTGATTAGCCAACTCACTCAGTGTCAGCTCAGTGTCAGCTCAGCCACTTAGCGGTATACATCAACCTTGTTGATGGCGAATCAACATTGTTCGATGGTTATTAACGTGTTAAACAAAACAAAGGTACAGATAATTCTATCTTCGACTCTCTTGTAGCCTCAGCATATACGTGTCTCTACATCTCTACAATCCAAGATGGCGGTCAAATGTGAATAACGAACACCGGATATAGCGAACTTAATTTCTTGGTCCCTTGGAGTTCGTTATATCCGTGTTCTACTGTATGTCCACCGACAGATGTGTCAGATGAAGCTATTCACAAACACAATTGAATAGTTCTACCTACTGGCTGCGGATCCTTTAGTTCGAAGATGGAGGAAATCTGGAATAATGTCCGGGAACCAGATGTAGCAGAAAATACTCAGCCACACCACGAGCAGGATACCTCCAACTGGAAACAATGGAGAAACACATGACTATCCAAATGTAGATCCCACCATGAGGTGTGTGTGTCAATACATATGATGTAAATATCAGATCATCTTTAAGGTGAGGTGAGGTGAAATTGGGCTTAACGACGTGCTTGAGAATATTTCGCTCATATGACGATGTGCATGCGTGTGTATGTGCGGCTGCTTGTACTAGCCCAGACTTTAGCTGGTTTTATAGTGCGAGGCCACTGAGATACCACGCAGCAGTGAAGCATGAAAACCCCACTCACACACATTATACTGACTCTGAGCCGACCAGTCCTTGTTGTACCCATTAATGCCAAACGCCAGGCAGGGACCAACAAGTACCATATTTAAACGTCTTTTGGTATGACGTGGTCGAGGGTCGAACCCGCGACCTTCCTCTCTCCGGGCGGACGCTCTTACCACTACACCACGGAGGTGGTCACGAATATTAGGGATGCCACGATACATAAGTTTCATGAATCATTAGTATCATGATACCTATTATCGTGGTATTATTGTGTAAATTTAGTTACATTTTGAACGTTAATATTTCATATTTTATAATTGTCCATGAAAAGATGAACATTTTTCATTCTCAGCGATTAAAAAGTTCGAATTTCCAATGTTTGTGCATGAAAAATAATCATTTATAACTCTCATAACATAAAAAAACATTTGCAAAATGTAAACGATTCCAAAACATATTTAAACCAATACTTTCAAAGCTAAATATCAATACAGTTTGGAATGTATCGATAATTGTATCTTCTTAGAAAAAGTATTGATGCATCGATGTATCGTGGCATCCCTAGTGAATACGACACCAATCACAAACATAATGTATAAGAGATAAACAACTCTCCATTGTTGTTTATCACCCAATAAACACTGCAGAGATGGTATACAACTCAGGCCTGCAGAATTTAAGGACACAAGGACATAAACATTAAATCAGTTTCTGTGCATTTCATGGATTGAAAAAAATACCATTTTAAACACTTCTAATCTTATTCTGATACAGTGGGTTTAAGGTTAACTTGAATTGTATGTATCACGCAGTAATATGTTTGGTTTGTTGTTCAGTGTGACATTCAGCAATGTTCCAGCTGTATGACAGCAGTTTGTTGTTCAGTGTGACATTCAGCAATATTCCAGCTGTATGACAGCAGTTTGTTGTTCAGTGTGACATTCAGCAATATTCCAGCTGTATGACAGCAGTTTGTTGTTCAGTGTGACATTCAGCAATATTCCAGCTGTATGACAGCAGTTTGTTGTTCAGTGTGACATTCAGCAATATTCCAGCTATATGACAGCAGTTTGTAATCCTGTTAACATGAACATTGATCTTGCAATTGGGAAACGATGACATACATCAAACAAGTCAGCAAGCCTGACCACATGCACTTACAAATCACAACAGAAATTGGAATGTGTCATAATTAGACCAAAGCTCATACATCAGGATCTGAGATGATCAAATACTTTTTTCAAATCGGAAACAGTTGCATGCAATCTGAATCATTTAGAGAACGTTTCGAGACTTTCAAAAGGACACAACATGAGAAAATAGCCTTTCTAAATAATGTTTAAGATACATCATACTGGTACGCTTGCTACCTTATTTCTTAACATGCATCATTAAAATGGAAAACTGGATCTTTTAGTTAGACTAAGAAGTTAAATATTTTCACCCCTTTCACATGCATAACACACTTTTCCAACTCTTTGACCATTTTACAAATTATCTGGTTAGTAAAAGGTCACAGTCAGAGGAAATATTTCCTTTATGGATAATCCAGTTTTTGAGACTGTACAAGTTTAGAATGCCTCATAATGGGCAAACATGAATGCAACAAATCGGGAGACTTGCAGACAATCATACTTCACAGGTTCCTAAAAAAATGTAACCATATTGGTAAATACAAAATGCTGTTGTGGTCCTACATAATGATAAATATGTTTCTTGTGCACAAGGATGAGGATTAAGGGTTGGTGATAGTTTGCAATGCTTCCCATATAACCTACATGGCCCTATATCCTGTCTCAACTCAATTCAAGGTATTTAGTGATAATTCTTGGAATTGGTTTTTAATTTTACTCATCTTAGTCAACAACCTTTCATTCTGCAAAATCGAAATTATTTTCTAAATATTCCAACTAAATAGCAACGTATTCACTTGAGGGAAGCGAGATGTCAGGTCTCTTTGTTTAAGACAGTATTTAGCTTTTATTTCGCCTCAGCTTTACAGTGCATGCAATCATTCGCCTGAATAACGAATCTGCATTCTGCGATGAAGCTTTGTCGGGATGGTTAGTGTGAATAATATTAATGCATGCATACTGTAAAGGAAACCTTTCTTCGCTGAAAGGACATTCATCTTGTACGCTGAAAACTTTGCAAGATACCAGGCTTCAACAATAGATGTGTACCAATCTCAGCTGACACGTTGCGATCGCTTACATGGCACAAACAAAACTAAAGCAACCGGATGTCGAGAGTTATCCCCCCAAAATGGCAGCTTTCTCTGAAACACGCGGATATGTTTTGAACTGAACATCGTACCCTTAACTCTGTTTCTGGAGTCACAATTCCAATGACAACACGATGAATATATACAACGAGACAGCCAAAATAGTGAAGTCAGTCAAGCAGAAGAAAGGAACGGTCAAATCACTCGTGTTTGCCTCCCGTTTTCATGTAAGAAAGAATGGCCTCTGTTTTCGCTCATGATCATGCGACAACGTCTGTTCATATACCCAGACCTGTTTATGGTCCCAACAAACATACTCAATAAATATGCCACGCGTAAATGATCACATGGATGACTCGTACCCATAAAGGCAAATCTTTACCCAATGAATATATATTTACAGTTTATACATACTTGTGCCACCACGCAGAGACCACTGAGCACTGTTACGCAAACGGCGCAGCATGGTGACCGCGGGACACTTGAATGCACTCTTGGACTTAATGGCTGTTGATGACTCTCTTGTGTTTCAGACTGAAAGCCTTTTTTGAAATAAATAATTTATGAATGTTTAGAATTAATGAGTGTTTGAAATGTACAATCATTGAACGATGGATGTATGTTTGAAATGCATCATGAGTGAATGCTGAAATGCATATAATGAATGAATGTTTGAAATGGATGTTGTTTTTTTGTGTGTGAAAAATGTGCTAACAATATATTGTCATCAAAATCCTGAATAAATTATTTTGGGAGTAATAAATCTTTTGTTGTTTGATATGGTCAAATCGTCTAGTAGCAGACTTATACATATTTATGTAGCGGTTAAAATACGATTTTTTTAGGTGTATATATCAAAATTGCCATTTCATATTTCCAATTAATCAACTTAATGCTAAAATCGAACTGCACTGTTAATTGTTTAAAATGAATTTTTCTGCCTTCTAACTTTATATCACAGTTTCTCTGGCAGTGAATTTCAATTTTAGCACCTATTTTCATAAATATGTATTCATATGCAGTGTTGATAAAGAATTTATTGCAGTTTAAAGTGACATCCCCTAGCTGCAAGGATGTAAAGGAAGACAGGCCTCGTCTTATCTTCTTTTTTTATTTCATTACTGTAGTCCTCCGCCTTGATATTGCTGGAATATTGCTAAAAGCGGCATAAAACCAAACTCACTCATTCATTACAGTAGAGTGGAATGAGTGTTTGCAGGGTATGAAACTCCCAAAAATTTCAGCCAGACCACAGGTCTGGTTAGATGTAAAACTTGCCAGCCCTGACCAAAACTTACCTGCCCACAAAATATCTTCATATACATGTCTAAATTTTAACCCCCCGCCCGTCGGGCAGGTGAATTTGAGAATCTGTCAGTCCGTGTTGAAACTAACTGGTCCCGGGCAGTCGGGCACGCAGGTATTTCGAACGTTGGTGTTTGCCACAACCTAGTTACTGTGGTGTGCGACTCTGGTATTCTTCCCCAAAACTGACATGCCGTGATGAAACTGATTACGGTTCAAGATGACATTTTCCAACAACTTACTTATCAAGCTCATTACTATTTGTCTTCCAGAATAAACGCAAACTTTATGCCTTGGTGTGCGAAACTCTGAAGTTCTGGCAGATTTTGAGTCTGCTGCTGAAGAGGACAAAGATTCCGCGGAAACTCAGCAACTATGATGAGAAGCAGTATGTATTGATTGTCCTGTTGTACGAGTTTCTCATTGGACAGGGACTTGACAACGCTGGAGCAATAGCTGTAAGTTCATCCAGAATTAAGTGGTTTTGGTATCAGATCAAAGAGATATTTATGTAAAAAATCAAAAGAACTTCATGAAGACATTAAAAGCTCTGTGAAGTGTCTTTGTCATGCTTATGAAAAATGTAATATGAAGATAATTAAAAATTGAAATACTGCCAATATGAAGTGTGTCATTTTGTTATTTCAGAAACAGTTTTTGCGACATAAGAATGTGATAGAAAGGGAACATGGCCGTCTGCTTGCTGAGAAACATGTGTCCAGTCTGTCAGAACTTATCCCTGAGGAAGCACATGGTAGAGTGAAACATCACTGTTTTCTTAAACCCTTTGAAAATAAATAAATTTTGTTGGGGGAAATACTTTTGACCAATTAATGAAATCATGGTCGCCATACACAGACAACTGAAAGATGGTAAGATGTCTTCATCATTACAGCAACTGTTTGTGATTAATGTACAGCATCTTTGCTCATGCTATCAACCACTGGTTTGTTTCGTCCAGAGGTGATCATTTACACACTCATGTATAGGTGGAATGTTATACAGTGTGAACAACAAACAAAGTCAAACATGCTTTATGTGTTAAGTAGTGTTGGGAATTGGTTAAAATCAAATAATTGATGATTGGTCTGTTACAACCGATCAATCATCGAAAATAATTGGTTAGGGTCATTTATCAAATGTTCCTGTTATTTTTGTTAATGCACAAAAAAAGAAAGAAAAAACATGTAGTAATTTGTTTGTTTTTTGAAAATTGCATAAAGTCCATTTGCAAAGTTTGCATATTTAAATGATGATTAGTATGTTAGGAACACATATTTCCTGGATTCTTTAAGATAAATTCAATCATGACTTGGAACGAGCTTGTACATGTAGTGCTTATGAAATGTAAATTTAATGACACAGACAAAACCAGCCTTGTGAAAAATATTGTTAATGCAAACAAGTGTTCCAAGATTGGTAGGTTCGATTATGAGAAAACATGTTCGATTGCTTGGTCGTTTAGTCACTGCGACCAATCTTCGATTTTTTCAGTTAATCAGACCACCACTAGTGTTAAGTTGGTGGTGGGGAAGCCAAGTGGTTAAAGCGTTCGCTCATCATGCCGAAGACCCGGGTTCGATTCCGTGCATGGGTTCAATGTGTGAATCCCATTTCTGGTGTTGTTCCACGCTGTGACATTGCTGAAATATTGCTATAAGCGGCATAAAACTAAACTCACTCATTAACTGATCAGTTAAGATACTGACAGTGTCAGCATGTGAAGTATTTTTGCTCATTTTGGTCTCCACGTGATCTTTTTCAGCTGTACCTCTGCCCAGATATGTTCGTGTGAACCTGCTGAAAACTACATTGCAGAAAGCAGCAGAAACCTTCATGAAAGAAGGCTGGCGGCTTGTGAAAGGAACGAAGAAGTACGGACATTCTCCATTTTCTTTTGCCAAAGTTTTTTATTACAATGTTGACAAAAGTTCCAAAAGCTCGTTTTCAAGTGTTGTTGTTAGCATAATTGGTATGAGTGAGTGAGTGAGTTAAGTTTTATGCCGCACTCAGCAATATTCCAGCTATGTGGCGGCGTTCTGTAAATAATCGAGTCTGGACCAGACAGTCCAGTGATCAACAGCATGCGCATCGATCTGCGCAATTGGGAACCGATGCCATGTGTCAACCAAGTCAGCAAGCCTGACCACCCGATCCCGTTAGTCGCCTCTTACGACAAGCATGGGTTACTGAAGGCACATTCTAACCCGGACCTTCACGGGTAGCAAAATTGGTATTGAAATATAGGTAAGACTACAGAATACCGGATACCTTCTGCCATCTTTGAAAGCAAGCAGGTTTACTTTTGGTTAGGGTTAGGGTAAGGTTTAGGGTTAGCGTTAGGGTGACGTGACACTTAACAATATGGCTGGTAGGTATCCGGTATTCTGTATGTGTACCAAAATATATCTAAATATAAATATAGAATTTGACATTCCGATAGTTTGTAGCCATGTTTACAAATATGTCAGAATATCTATTTGTTATTTCTGTTCAGAGACTGATAAAGCATTGATGACTCAGTGCCTGTGAATAAAAGTGTCATTTTTCCTTATCCTGACTCATGCTCTTTTTGCTTGTCTTCTTCTTCTTGCGAACATAGTGGAACACTTGTATCTCCCTAATTGAAGCTCCCTTCAATTTAAAATCACTAATTAGTATTCACCACGAGTTACCTCCTTTCCACAAGCGCGGGAACGAGGGCGCCACCTCTACCCATGTGCCTCACTCTCTCCTTCTTCGCCCAGTGAGCTGGACGTGAGAGCGCCTGTGTCTCCCGACACACTATATCCTTTGAATTATATTTAGTTAGTTACCTCGTATAGACAGCTATAGAGGTTTAGCTAGTATCCTTCAACCATTATATATTGATATTTAGTCGTTTTTACAGTTTATTCAATGGACGCCGTGTTTGTTTCAGTGGATTACGCTGATGAAAATTCTGTACTATTGCAGATTACGCTTTTATGCTGCTGCTGATCCGCCTTTAATATGATGTACGGCGCCATGTTTATTATATTCACATTGCAGTTGGGCGGTACTAATTTATCCAATTCTACCTTTTATTAATATTTACTTTGGCGTTTGGCACGCCACAGCAGATAGGTCGGCGATGCAGAGTCTAGTATGACTGATACACCGAACCCTCGCCAGTCTACTGCTGTTGGCCGACTCTCCGCGTGGTGTTCCGCTAGAGTGGTGGAGAGGTGTGGACGTAGTCCGCCATCTCCAAGAAGCATCCTGCTTCCCCAGACATCCCATCGCCGCAGCAGAAGACTAGAGGGTTTTTCTACCACATCTCAACAGCCGGAGACCGCTCCTATCGCGAGTTTGGGCCTGTATGATGATCAGCCTCATCATCATACCAGATGTACATCAAAGATTGACCGATGTCGGCACAGATCAGCATGCAGCCTGATGTACCAACGCGATATGCTGGATGATCGCCCTGAGGGTCCCATCATTACCAACACTCAACGCAGACGCCGCACACCCAGGGCAGCGCCGAATTCTGAGGGAAAATCAACGTAAGTCTACTAGGACTTTCAACCGAGATTGTTCCAGCCGATGACCTGGACCTCTACGATGATCAGCTGATCATCATCCCCGACGCATTTCACAAGAAACGCACCGTGACAGCTACAACGACATCAGCAGAGATCACCATGCAGCCTGATGCCTCTACACTGATGTCGGACGATTTTCCCGTGGACCCCCATTAACACCGCAGATAAAGCATCGACGACCTCGCCGCAGACCATCCCAGAAGACATGATGCACTAACAAATTATGAACATCATGGAGGACCACTATATCTCGCGGTAGCAGGTCCGAAGCCGCTGGAAGGCTCCAACGTAGACAGCACCCCAGAGGCACCCCGCCAACGAAAGCAGCCAGGACGATGTCACCTTCGCTGGCGAAGTCAATGGACCACCTTGGACGGCGACCTAGATGTACAGCTTCGCTGAAAGGCGAAAGAACCTAGATACAGCCTTCGCTAAGGACTTCGCGAAGGCAGGATAGATCATCACCTTATGCGTTTCATCCCTAGATGTGGACTCGACCATCAGACATCACGGAAGCCTTCGCTGAAGGTCATATCGTCGTCTCTCCGACCGACGAGAGGAAGCTTCGCGAAGGCATGCGCAAGGACACCTGAATCCAGATCATCATCATCTAGAAGGACATCGAGGGACTATACAAGAGCTTCGCGAAACTATCAACGCTCCTCACAAGTCTCCCAGAAGATCAACCCATAGACAAGTTGATCATCGATATCAAGTATAAGAACTACAATCGATATTGGTTCTGTTGAATCCATGACGACGATGTTCGCTGGCCTAAATAGATCTAGAACGATCAATTAGACACTTATCACCAGACTTCAGAACACCCACTTCTGAATATGATAAGATGATCCATGCGCCCTATTTTTAGGCAAGCGCCACGATCCCACATCCTGTTAAACACAGAGGCTGTTCACGGCAAGCCATATATATATTTATATATATATATATATACTAATCGGGCTTTGATTTCGACACCTTCGCGATGGTCGCTAAGGCTAAGTGGCTCCAAGTCTACTTCACCCAGAAGATCTAGAAGGGTTACTTCGAGAACTTCGCGAAGTCTCCGGCGCTCACCGAGGAAGTCTCCTCCAAGGTTTCCATATACTAGCCACTCGCCATATATAGCTACTGTCAGTCCGTTTCAAGACGCCGCATAAGTTGATTATCAACTGTATGCCAGATGTCGCCTTTAAGCCTACTGGAAGATAATTGCTCAGGCTATTTACAACACAGAACGCCGCTGTATTATTAGTCAACGACATTGCATAGATCTTCACAGAAATCAACTATTCCGTGATAAATTGCTAATATACAATCCCGACGATCGATACGATTATCTACATGCGACCATTACGCATATCTGCAGACAATTCAATATCGAAATTGAACAGCAGCCTTGTTACAGCGCAGTATAACTCTTAATCGCCAAAGTTTCTGAGAAGAAATATGTACAACAAGTTCAACGTTAATTCTACAATTATGACGATACATTCATGTATACAGTCTACAAGCTCACAACTTGCAAGTTGTTTATACCCTTATATATAAGGAAGTCGGAATTATATTCAAAACTGAAATTACTTTCACGACAACCAGGAAAATAACCTACCCAGCATAAAATTACAGAGCGAGATATTTCTCTACCGGAGGTTTCAGCTACATTACCATTAACCCTCAAACACGTGGTCACCGGATAACTTCGAAGCTACGGTGAAGACCGACGCTTATGCTAATATCAACGACGACAAGAATTTATTCAAGGTGGGTTTTTCCCCGCTACACCGGTGACATCACAGCTGGTATTATACAGAATCAAAATGCCTTGTTCTGATTGGACCACTGAGGGACAACGACTCTACACAGAGGTCGCATCTCAATTCACAGTTCAAGACTTACGCCACAAGTGACAACTATATATCAGTGATCGAAAGCAAGCCTCATTACAGTCCAGTTAACCTGAACATTCATGATTAGACTGTTTTTCTTCAAGTTAGAGACCTCCCCCTGTCAAGTTAAGACGAGGGATCGGCAGTCAGGCGATTTTACATAAAGTTCAACGAGGACAGACACACCTGGTTGTGCACCTACATCAAGGACTTCAGAGCTTAATTACCTAGACGAAAGATACAAGTGGATCTAAATCCACAGCGCTTCAGACTACAGCTGAATTTCATCGTTTAATTAACACAACTAGATGGTTAGTAAACCTACTAAACTTCTGTTTGGAGAATAAAACGGAAATTTCGCCAACCTGGGATATGAATATAGTGTTCCAACACCTCACAAGTGAGGTTTATGAACACGCTTGGATGACATACTTGGACCCCATGATACGATGATTCTATCAAGATGGCCAGCAAGAGCACTGTTAATTTATCTCCACCAAACCAAACAGGAGGAAAAATGCAACAGATTATTTCTCTATCATCAACTTCGCTAAGAGAGTGAAGTCTCATGTACTATATCTCCATTTGGATCAGAACTGTCATACCACGCGCATATGCGGATGGACCTATTCGACCCTCCATGAGCTTAATACTCATGATATTATAGCTAACTTCTACAATTGTTCTACACAATGTGATTGAAATAATGGAGGGTTTATTTCTGAAACTGACATGGTGGTTGCAAACCATTATCTGAGAGATATCACCACCGAGGACGCCCTCAGGTATACACCAATTCGATCCCATGGTCCTCGACAACAGCTGACAGTTCTCGGAGAAGATAAGTCAATCTAACAGATTTTTACTTATCTTATAACAATACTAAATAGCTTCATGCTATGTATAATTTACTTAAGTTCCTTTTATCATCACAGTACTATGATTATTACATCATACAATATATAAGTTAACAACTCTACAGAGTTTGTTATTATATATATTTACCTTAAGTTATTCATATCTTAAGAGTAATACTATGGTTACATGATAAATGCATTAGCTAACAAACTCTACAGAGTTTTTGGCTATTTTATACATAGCTTAAGTTAATTAAGCTAACAAACTCTAACGGAGTTTTACTATTATATAGGTAACTTAAGCTAATTATACCTTAAGCATAGTACTATACTCATATTATTAAAATATATTGGCTAACAAACTCTAAGGAGTTTTGCTATTATATAGGTAGCTTAAGCTTATTCATATCTTAAGCTTAGTACTATGTTTATATCATATAAGTAGATTAGCTAACAAACTCTAAAGAGTTTTTGCTATTTGGCTTAAGTATCATCATATTTCTAAGCAATATGGTTATATTATAACATGTATTAGCTAACAAACTCTACAGAGTTTTAGCTATTATATATGTAACTTAAGCTTATTCATATCTTAAGTTTAGTACTATGTTTATATCATATAGGTATATTAGCTATCAAAACTCTAAAAGAGGGTTTTGCTATTATATATTTTCGCTTAAGTTTCATCATATTTTAAGCTTTATGGTTACATTATAACATGTATTAGCTAACAAACTCTATGGAGTTCTTTTGCTATTATATATGTAGCTTAAGTTTTCCTTCATAAGCTCAATACTAGGTTTATATCATAGCTAACAAACTCTAAAGGGTTGTTTTCGCTATTATACAATTAGCTTAAGTTTCATCATATCTTAAGCAGTATGTTTACATTATAAAGGTATTAGCTAACAAAACCTCGAATGGAGTTTTGTTATTATATATATATAGCTTAAGTTTCATCATAACTTAAGCTCAGTACTATGTTTTTAACATAAAAGTATATTAGTTAATAAACTCTAAGGAGTTTATTTTGCTATATACATTTAGCTTAAGTCTAATCTTATCTTAAGCTTAGTACTATGGTTACACTATAAACATATTAGCTAATAAACTCTACAGAGTTTTTGGCTATTATATATATGTAGCTTAAGTTAATAATATCTTAAGCACAATACTATACTCATATTGTAAAATATATTAGCTAACAAACTCTACGGAGTTTTGCTATTATATATGTAGCTTAAGTTCATTATATCTTAAGCACACTACTATACTCATATTGTAAAATATATTAGCTAACAAACTCTACGGAGTTTTGCTATTATATATGTAGCTTAAGTTAATTATATCTTAAGCACACTACTATACTCATATTGTAAAAATATATTAGCTAACAAAACCCCTACAGAGTTTTGCTATATATATGTAGCTTAAGTTAATTATATCTTAAGCTCAGTACTATACTAATATTATAAATATATATTAGCTAACAAACTCTACAGAGTTTGGCTATTATATATGTAGCTTAAGTTAATTATAGCTTAAGCACAGTACTATACTCATATTATAAAAATATATTAGCTAACAAACTCTACAGAGTTTGGCTATTATATATGTAGCTTAAGTTAATTATAGCTTAAGCACAGTACTATACTCATATTATAAAAATATATTAGCTAACAAACTCTACAGAGTTTTTGCTATTATATATGTAGCTAAAGCTTATTCATATCTTAAGCTCAGCATTATATCTATATCATATAAGTATATTAACTAACAAACTCTAAAGAGTTTGTTATTATATAATTAGCTTAAGTTTAATCATATCTTAAGCTTAGTACTATGTTATATCTTAAAGTATTTTAGCTAACAAACTCTAAGGAGTTTATACTAGCATATTAACAAGCTTAAGTCTATTAGTCTTAAGCATTGTATTAATGTTATATATACTTTATCATAATAAGTACATGGTAATAACCATTTATATGGCAGCTGATAAGTTAGCAGCAGGAATTCATCAGTTCAGTGCCTTTATGAAGTTCCCATAGGGTTATTACAATCATCACAGTTCAAATCACTAATTATTAAAAATCCAAAGTATTAGATATTCCCACCTCCGTTCCGTCAGGATGCTACAAGCAAAAAAGAGCATGAGTCAGGATAAGGAAAAATATGTAATTTTGGAATAAAATTGATATTTTATACTTATCCTGACTCATGAGGTCAGCCCTCCCATCCTCCCCAAATAACACTTTGGATTTCCTGTAAATTCAAATGTTGGGCTCAGTATATGAGGAGAGAGTGAGGCACATGGGTAGAGGTGGCGCCCTCGTTCCCGCGCTTGTGGAAAGGAGGTAACTCGTGGTGAATACTAATTAGTGATTTTAAATTGAAGGGAGCTTCAATTAGGGAGATACAAGTGTTCCACTATGTTCGCAAGAAGAAGAAGACAAGCAAAAAGAGCATGAGTCAGGATAAGTATAAAATATCAATTTTATTCCAAAAATTACATTATTGTTTTTAATGTGGACAATTTCCAATTTGTTTCTTAAGTAATAGATAATAGTTAAAAACATGGCGTTTTCTTCCCGACCTTGATTATTCAGAATGTTATATTGTCATACTATGATGACAAATACCCTCAAACCCATTTGCTGGTTCAAGAAAAGCTGACCAATGAATTAAATGAAGGTTACCCGTATATTACCATAGATAAGCCGAATTTTGAGGGGAAAAAAAGCAGTCTGTAGAAGGGGGTCGGCTGATCTATGGGTTACGCTTTCGTCAAACTTTTTTTTTTCCAGGGGTAAGAAAACAACATCGTATCACTTCACGTGAACAAACAACAGAAGACGACTCTGTCAGTAAAGACGTCAAATTTGCAATTAAACATCACTAGACATGATTATTTACCTTTTAAGTTCTGAGTTGTTTTTGCGGGGCATTGTATTATTTGCAGGGATTAAGATTACCGTGTGTATTTAAGCCGGAAATAGCACTCAGCTGTGCACACTTTTCCTGGCGATCAAGTTCAAACATGCACAATCATATAACGGGATGAATTCTGATGTAAGCATCAGTAAAATATAATACAGAATACTATTATGTAACCCCAAGAAATAAATTGTGTAATTTTAATTACAGTTTTTGCTCTATAAATAAATTAAGATTAAGATTACCGTGTGTATTTGGACCGGAAATAGCAATCAGCTGTGCACACGTTTCACGGCGATTATGTTCAAACTTGCACAATAATATAACGTGATGAATTCTGACGTAAAATAAGCAAGCCAGTTTGTTGACTTGTGATCGTCCCTATACAATAAGTATGATATTTAGCGAAACAAAATATATTATCCATTTTCTGTCAACTACACTTCATTTCGATGCGTGAGTAGACGCAATATGATTGTGAATTCTTTGAATAATGTGGACCAAAGTTATAATGATTGGTAACTGCTAGTTGTCTGTGGTCTGTGTTTGCCGCGATTAGGACCCCATCACAGGGGATCGGCTTATGTACGAAACATACCATTTTCACACTGATTTTAAGGGTCAAGTTTGGGGGTCGGCCTATCTATGGGGTTGGCTTATCTATGGTAATATATGGTATTTGTGCCAGACAAAACTTATGCCACTTTCATAGTGCTAGCCCACCTGGATACTATATGCATGCCACTGTTTACTCAGACTGACCACTCCCTGATATGTCATCTCACCGCAGGCACCAGGCAGATAAAAAAGAAGTACCATCTTTAATTTGAACATCTTTTGAAATGATGTTACAACACTATGGCAGTAGTCAAATTCGGAGCTGAATGATGATACTTTTTATGGATATACAACTTCTTTATTCTTTATCATCATTCTTCATCACCCTTCATCACCCCAACTTCTAAAATGCACATCAAGGAAAATTCTGAGCTATGTTTGTACCAGAAGGGATATTGATTGAAGCGTCACTTCCGAATCAAAGTTATCATGGTCATGGATCAAGGGTACTTGTCTCAAGACAATGGAGATACAGTGGAAACCGCCTAAGTAAAGACCGCTTAACTAAACAGACCTGATAAGTAAACACTTTTCTTCGGTCCCGGGCAAATGTCTTCATTAATTATCACTATTAGAATCCTGTTAACTAAACTCGGATAAGTAAACAATACCGCTTAACTAAACGTCTTCTCACGGTCCCTGGAAGTAAATTACTTAACAAAAGAGACTGGATAACTAAATTAGCGATCACTACATAATCCGACATGAGGGGCAGTCGTGTCAGTCTCCAGTCAAACAAACATCCTACTTACAGCTCGCTGGCGTCAAGCAGTTGACAATACACTGACAACTGGAGGCCAGCCCTGATAAGTTGTTCATTGTTACATATGCATACATATACATACCTATGGTTTTCATTTGCAGGTTTTTATCAGTTTGGATAAGTAAAATACCTGATAAGTAAACAAGTTTGGCGAGTCCCTTGAAATTTTACTTATCAGGTTTCCACTGTATAATACCCTGGATTGTTAATGAAGTCCATGTTTCGATTATTCCTTGATTCAATGTAACTGTAAATCAGATTGTTAATTGTTAAAGATTGCTTTTACCTTCATCAGCCGTGTTATTTCAGCATTGTGGATGACGTGCCCGAAGCTGGGCCAGCGAGAGTTTCTGCAGGATCACCATCTCCCCGATCTGCTGGTGTTTCCTCCTGGAACCGACTTCCATAAACACAGACTGTGTACGACAGGGGAGATAATCCTGCAGGACAAGGTGAGAAAAGATTGAAGAGTGAAGGTTGAGACAGGACTCCTGTTTATTTAACATGATTTTCATCAACATATTTATAATTTTATATTTTGATGAGCACATTTACCCCAAACTCTTTAATCATTTAGTACCAAGTAGACAGCTCCAACAAAAACATCAATGGGCTGAAACAGAAACTATTTGATTGTACTTTATAACATAATTTAATCATCAGTCTTGTCAGCATTGGAATGTTAACGTGTTTTTGACATTAATATATAAGGTTCATCCCATTATATCGCAGTACCTCTATTGCAACATATTGCAATAAAATTTCCTTGCTGATACACAACACGACTATTTTCCCCTCCAGGCCAGTTGTTTCCCCGCCCATGTGTTGCTTCCACCAGAGGGCAGTGTGGTGATTGACAGCTGTGCAGCACCCCGGCAACAAGACCAGCCATGTTGCCAGTCTACTGAGAAACTCAGGGTTTGTGTTCTATGCTCAGGAATTTAGTGATGGGTTCTGGCCGAGTAATGCAGTAATGATTCATGCATTCTGAAGCTATTTATTACATATCAATTTAATAATGATAATAATTCATTTATGTAGCGCCTAGTGTCCATCTGACAAGTTGCTCACTGGAAGCTGTTATCAGAATCTGATTATTATTACCCCGGATAATCCAAGCTGCCTGTAAGGCGCTAGAAAGTTAATAGTCACATGACTTATCCCACTGGGTACCCATTTTCTGCAGGGTGAACAGAGGCAACTTTGAACAAACTCATTTGCCTGAGGTGAGAGCAGATGTATCACATGTGCTTCGTTGTGGGGCAGGACTGAAGTCCTAGAAACCCTCAGGAGTCAAGCTGCCAAACATGGTCACCCATCCAAGGACTCTCCGCGCTCAACGTTGCTTAATTTCAACTGATTTGTGACCTGAGCTCTACGCACAGGACCACATGCCACCACATATTAATTTAATCTCATGAGAAGATCCTGGGTAGAATAGGTCTTCAGCAACCCAGGCTTGCCACAAAAGGCGACTATGCTTGTTGTAAGAGGCGACTAACAGGATTGGGTGGTCAGGCTCGCTGACTTGGTTGACACATTTCATCGGTTCCCAATTGCGCAGATCGATGGTCAGGCTGTTGATCACTGGATTGTCTGGTCCAGACTCGATTATTTACAGACCGCCACCATATAGCTGGAGTATTGCTGAGTGCAGCGTAAAACTCAACTCACTCACCCACTCACTTAATCTCATGAGCAATACAATCCGTGCACTACAGCTAGCTCAGGCATTTTTCAGTAATAGTTAGTAGTTATACTGGTGATGGCTTTACACCAGTGATAGCATAATACAGGTTATTTGTGTGCTAATTATTATAGTCATTGTATTAGATACTGGTGCAGACTTATTCGAATGGATAGATCAAGGTATCCCAGGGCTGGTTATGAAATGATGAAACATTCTGATGAACAGGATAGAATATGTTGGGGTTTTCGCATTCGAATATTATTGTTTGACTGGCTTTTCGTACATATGGTTCACTCAAGATTGCGGTAGTATTAACGTTTCCATGAATTTGTTTTCACAAAGATGTAGAGACATACAATTCCCAAACTGGCATTGTAAAACCTCAGGGTCATCATTTCTAAAACATTACAGTGGTTTTAAATCTGTTTTGGATGCTGAAAAGTATATTCTTAAATTGTTTCCCGAAAAAGACCTGTTGAGGGTATATTGTAAGTTTCACTGTGCATCTCATAAATTGAAAGTTCAGTTAGATAGATAAAAATGTTAGGATAACCCAAATGCATTACTATGTACCAAATGTCTCCTGGGCTGTATTGAAGATGAATTTCACTTTCTATTTATTTGCCCTTACTATGAGATAAGCAGACAACAGTTTTTACCTGAATATTGTTATAAGAATCCGTCTGCTTCAAGAATGTATCAACTGCTAGCATCCACTGACACAAAACTTATTAAATCTTTGTCGTTGTATTTGAAAAGAAACTTGCCAATTTGATATTACTTGTGAATGAATGATATACCGGTATGTGCACTGTGTGCAGTTATTATGTATTAGTGATATGGGTCACGTGGCCCCAAATACCAATAAACTTGTCACTTGTCACTGTCACAGTAGTTATACTGGTCATGACTTTATACCAGTGATATCATAATACAGATGAGAATGTAACACCAGCAATAGTGTTCACCACATGGACATGATTCTGTTTTCAGATACGCAGGTGTTATAGGGCCCGTAAGTAGGTCACGGCACTCCGCGAGACCTTAGTACTTCCGGTGACAAACAATGTTTCATACCTTTTCGAATGGTCTCATGGTTGTCAGTTGACAGTAAGAAACCGATAATCCTTGCAGGAATAACAAATTTCCGATCTAACCATCCCCAAATACCCCACTATGATGACTTTCAACAGCTGTGACAGCCAAGCATGGTTGTACACTTGGTCCAGTCTGGTAGAGTCATATTTGGCGCTTGCACAATTTGGAACCATAACTGTTTTTTTTTATATAAGCCTGTCACCGGAAATCTGCTACCGGAAGTAAGCTTGGCCCTATCTCGCATATTGCAAGTTGGTACTTGTAAAGAGAGCCGGGAACCAGCTTAGTACCGGAAGTAGCGCCTCGCGAGACTTACAGGTCCTGTTGAATTGAATAAAGATGTCTGGATCTTGAATTTGGAACTAACAATATGTATTATGTGCTGTGACTTGTCACATACTTAGATTGTTTTCACCATCATATTGGTATAATCTCTCTAAAACAATAAAGATCATGTCTTGCGAGAAGGGCCAAAGAACAGGGAAAGTTACTTTTGTGTGACTGAATATATGATGTTATTCTCAACAAAAGTTCAAGTGGGAGATGTGGAATATTTAGTTTTACTTACATTATTTCATATGTGAAAACATTAGTTTGTCCATGACTATAAACTGAACTAATTTTCCAGGAAAATCTTTGCCTTTGACAAAGACCGTCGGCGTCTGAAGACAATGTCACAGCTGCTGGAGGTGGCTGGAGTCACCAACACAGAGCAGACGTGTCAGGACTTCCTGTCTGTTGACCCTCTGGAGGAGAAATACTCTGACGTGGAATACATGCTGGTGGATCCGTCATGCAGCGGGTCTGGTGAGAATTGTCTAGTTGGTCTATTCATTTTTTTGTTGTTTAATGCAGAGCTCAACAATATTACAGGTGTGTGACGGCAACCTCGAAAGAAGACTCAGGACCAGACACACCATTTGATGTTGTTCAGCCAGACCTTTTTAGAATCTTTGGCCCAAAGATGTTTTAAATTTATGAATAGAAAGGCAGTAGGTGGAATATATGAAATAAAGAGAAACTTTCAGAATATTTGTTTGTTCTGTGTTGAAAGTTGCCAGAATTTGTTTCCATGTGTCAGTGGTTGTTGAAAATTCAGATTCACACAGTAACCTGAACAATGTTTTCAAACCATTCATCGTTATTGTTTATCATGTCTTTTATTGTCGGTGTATTTGCCCACTATATTAATTTGGTGATATGTACTTCAAAATGGAAATATAATATATTGAAAGAAGAGTAAAATATTTTCGTTTATCTTAAGAGGTAACTTGATGAATGAGTGAGTTTAGTTCTACGCCATACCCAGCAATATTCCAGCTATATGGCGGTGGTCTGTAAATAATCAAGTCTTGACCAGACAATCCAGTGATCAGCAACATGAGCATCGATCTATACAATTGGGATATGATGACATGTGTCAACCAAGTCAGCGAGCCTTACCACCCGATCCCTTTGGTCACCTATTACGACAAGCATGGGTTACTGAAGACCAATTCTAACCCAGATCTTCACGGGTGGTGACTTGATTGGGGATTGGGTGGGCAAACTCAGTGACTTTCCTGACAATGTGTCACTATATTCAACTGCTAGGATTGTTGCTGATAGCATTTTCTTTGTTTTTTGCTATTACATACATAATTATCAGGTGAAATTACAGTACTGAAAAGAATATTCAGGGATTTATCTAGCTTTGAAGCTCATTCATGGTGCCAAGAGTTCATAACTATTCAGTTAAAATTCTCAAATTGGATTTAAGCAAAACCTGTGCTGTTGTAGTTATAACTAATTTTGAGTTGGATGTTGTGAGTTGTATATTGCTGGTGAGCAGATCAATATATACACAAAGAACTTAATTAAGCACCCCCTGTATTTTTGCAATGATATGTTTTTAACACGAACATAAAACTTCTCCTGGTGACCACGATGGAAATACGAGTTTTTCTGACCCGTATAATCCTTTGACTCATGAAAAACGACAAAATGAATGGAATCCATGTTGATTTTATGATGATAATTGCTCATTTAAAAATAAATTATTTATTCAAAACCATGTCTGTACAAGTATTGCCCTGGAATGTTCAATGTTGAATTTATCGGTGAATGTGAACATTGAAAATGTTGTTTTGCGTGTCTTACACGATTCAAGGTCAATACTGAGTGTAACCTCCATATGACTGTATGACAGCCAGCACTCTCCTCCTCATACCCGTCAGCCTCCTGATCCTCTGTAAAGCAGCTTCCAATTGGGCCAGGGTCTGTATTCAATTATAAAATACCTCTGAATCAAGGAAAGGAGAACTTTGAAAAATATTAAACTTGGGACTTTCACTCTGCATGACATACAAGGAAAATTAAGACAATTTCTTTTCCCTTTCAGGAATCGTGGGAAGACTTAATCACTTGTCTGATGACCAAAACTCAACTGAAGCTCGACTGAAGAGCTTGTCAAATTTCCAAGTGACCATGTTGAAACATGCCCTGTCCTTTCCAAGAGTGAAGAGGGTGGTCTATTCAACCTGCTCGGTACATGCACAGGAAAATGAGGAAGTTGTGGAGGAAGTTATCCAGAAGGTTGGCAAAGACTTCAAACTGAAACTGATCTTCGCTGATTGGCCAAGCAGAGGGGGTCAAAGGTTATGAGCATGCTCAGATGTGCCTGCGGATGTCACCTGAGGACAATCTGACTAATGGTTTCTTTGTGGCCTGTTTTGAAAGGAAGACATTTCAAGGGGAACGGTATTTGTGATGAAAAGGATCCTGTTGGATGTTCAGAAAACAGGATCAAGGACAATGGAAACAACGGGACGTTGACAAGAAAGGAAAAGAAGAGGCTAAAGAAAAAGGCCAAAAAGGCACAGAAGAATCTTCTTCTGAGCTCAGTTGTAAATGAGGTTGAAAGGGTCAATGATGAAGATGACGTTTTCGATGGAGATGGTGAAGATACCTGGCCAAGTAAACATGACAATAAAAACAGAATTATCCCAAAATCTGAAGATTTAGAGTCCTCATACCTGGCTACTGAAACTGAAGAAGTGTTAAGGGTAGATAACTCCATGGCCTGTGACACTCCAGTCAAAAACGTGTTTTGTGGCAGTCAAAAGCACTCAGGAAAATCCTCAGTTAAGGGTAAGAGAGTTGAAATGTTCCGGAAACGAAGTATTGACTTTCTGGATGTCAGCAACCGTTCTTGTTGCGTTCTACAATGTACGCCTCCTCCAGAGGCAAAACGTGCAAGACCGACCCACATGGGCTTCGGCTCCAAGCTCGGGAAGTGGGAAATAACAGAGAATGTACATGTTGCTCATGGTTTAGCTGACAGGCATGAACTGGTCACAGGCGTAAAGAACCGCACATCTGCAGAAAAGCGGAAACTGAAAAATTTAATGAGAACCCACCCCCCCAAAACAAGGGATTTAGCATTTTAGGATAGTTGTTATGGAAACATGCTGTGTTACACTTTGTTTAATCATTCTGATTAAATGCTGTAACCTTTTACAGTGGCTAAACATTTATGATGAAAGGCTGTGTGTCGTTTTACTGAATCAGTTTAATGAAAGATCAGTTTTATTAAAATAGTTACATTTGAAATAATTGTTTGTTATTTGGTTTTTTTTTTAAATGCTACTTTGAGTATTTTATTAATGCCTGAGAGGGGTATGTGTAATTGTTCTATAGTTTTAAACCAGAACATTAATAGCAATGGGATGAGGTAGGGTGGGTGTTTTTTTTATTGCAGGCAAAATGTATTCCCAACCTCTGCAACACAGTATTTCTTTTCCTGAAAGAAAAGGATGAACAACTGAATTTCACTTGCACAACATATTTGTTTCCTAGTTTCCTAGACATCCAACATGTTCAGGAAACAATTCTCTGTTTTTATGAAACATCTGCAGGGGTGAAGCCAGGATTTCAGAGGAGTGTGCATATGCGTGGTCCAAGGTTAGGGGGATACGCGCCTCAGTACTTTCGGACGTAGATCCTTCAAACATTCAGCTGCTTGCCTGTGGAACTCTCTCCCTACAGACATCAGATCTGCTCCAACTCTCTCAAGTTTCAAATCTCATCTAAAGACATTTCTTTTTCTTCGCTACTGACTGTCTTGTGTTTGTGCTTAGAGCATGGCCTAGTGTTGTGGAATCAAGCGCATTACAAATGATCTATATTATTATTAAACTGTTGAGTATGCTATAATTTTATTTTTTTGGGGGTGTGTGTGTCTGAATCTGGCAAGTTTATTTCTTTTCCATACTATCACTATTATCAGGCATTAGTTTTTTTATAAAAAACCCATGAAATATGAAAGAAAAGGCTGATCACCTCCAGCATCATTCTGGGTACACTATTCTATTTTTTTTGTATTATCAACCAATTCATATCATTCATATCATATTGTTATTAGGAACAAATAATATTCCAATGATTCCTCATGGATATTGACAAAAAATGATGCAGTAAGTATGGTCCATGTTCTTAAACGCAAGATGCAAAAAAATGAGCTCATGAAAAGTTTAGTGTGAAGCTGCAGTGCCAGATTAACCGCTGAGTGAGTGAATGAGTGAGTGAGTTTTACGCAGCTTAAGCAATATTCCAGCAATGTCACGCCAGGCGACACCAGAAATGGGCTTCACACATTGTACCCATGTGGGGAATCAAAAATGGGGATTCAGCGTGACGGGCGGATGCCTTTAACCACTTGGCTAGTGTGACTGAGTGAAGGGGAAAAACGAATGTGTGGTCAATTAATTTGATTCTGCCTGAAATGTGTTGTACATTTAGAGACGATATATAAACCACATGAATGGTATGGTTCTGTTTTTTTAAGTTATAAATATATTTTAGACATTTTGTCCAGTGAGTGAGCGAGTTTATGTTTCATCGCTTTTAGCAATATTCCAGCAATATTACTGTCACCAGAAATGGTACCCATTTTTCCATTTAGTGTGAGGTAGATGTTTGTTGCTGATGGTTTGCTAGTGGTTTGAAGACGAGTGCTAAGATTGAGGCAAGTGGCAAGAGGCAGTGACACCACATATTACCAGACTTGTATGGTTACAAGACACAGTAAATGTGTGTTCAAAGTTGTGACTGTTTTTGGGGGGGGCTAGTTGGGCTAGCTATGTCAGTGACCGTGGAGAGTTAATGGCGCGACTGGATTTTTACTAGCCATGAGCTCTTGGGCCAGTGAGGGGCGGTGGGGTAGCTTAGTGATTAAAGCGGTGGCTCATCACGCCGAAGACCCGGGTTCGAATCCCCACATGGGTACAATGTGTCAAGCCCATTTCTGGTGCCCCCCGCCGTGATGTTGCTAGAATATTGCTTAAAGCGGAGTAAAACCAAACTCAGTCAGTCAGTCAGTCTTGGGCCAGTGGCTATTTTGCACACTGGTTGGACACACTGGTCTTGTGATTGATTTTGGCATTGAAAGCGTTCCAGGCTTTCTTGTTCATTTTGAAAAAAAACCATTGACGTTTTTATTTATTTATTTTTGGTAATTTGATGGGAAAATATATAGAATACAAACACTGGGGAGTCACCAGTGATACACTAAAACAAACAACATGGTAGTTGATGGGGTATAGAATACAAACACATGGGGAGGCCAGTGATACACTAAAACAACATGGTACTTGATGGGTATAGAATATAGAATACAAACACGGGGAGCCAGTGATACACTAAAACAACATGGTACTTGATGGGGTATAGAATACAAACATGGTACTTGATGGGGAGAATACAAACACCAGTGATACACTAACACAACATGGTACTTGATGGGGTATAGAATACAAACATGGGGAGGCCAGTGATACACTAACACAACATGGTACTTGATGGGGTATAGAATACAAACATGGGGAGGCCAGTGATACACTAACACAACATGGTACTTGATGGGGTATAGAATACAAACATGGTAGATGGGGAGGCCAGTGATACACTAACACAACATGGTACTTGATGGGGTATAGAATACAAACATGAGGAGGCCAGTGATACACTAAAACAACATGGTACTTGATGGGGTATAGAATACAAACATGGGGAGCCCAGTGATACACTAAAACAACATGGTACTTGATGGGGTATAGAATACAAACACGGGGAGGCCAGTGGGGAGTCCAGTGATACACTAACACAACATGGTACTTGATGGGGTATAGAATACAAACATGAGGAGCCCAGTGATACACTAAAACAACATGGTACTTGATGGGGTATAGAATACAAACACGGGGAGGCCAGTGATACACTAACACAACATGGTACTTGATGGGGTATAGAATACAAACACATGGGGAGGCCAGTGATACACTAAAACAACAACATACTTGATGGGGTATAGAATACAAACAAACATGAGGGAGCCCAGTGATACACTATAGAAAACAACATGGGAGGCCTTGATGGGGTATAGAATACAAACATGAGGAGGCCAGTGATACACTAACACAACATGGTACTTGATGGGGTATAGAATACAAACACGGGGAGGCCAGTGATACACTAACACAACATGGTACTTGATGGGGTATAGAATACAAACACGGGGAGGCCAGTGATACACTAAAACAACATGGTACTTGATGGGGTATAGAATACAAACATGGGGATGCCAGTGATACACTAAAACAACATGGTACTTGATGGGGTATAGAATACAAACATGGGGAGCCCAGTGATACACTAAAACAACATGGTACTTGATGGGGTATAGAATACAAACACGGGGAGGCCAGTGATACACTAAAACAACATGGTACTTGATGGGGTATAGAATACAAACATGAGGAGGCCAGTGATACACTAAAACAACATGGTACTTGATGGGGTATAGAATACAAACATGGGGAGCCCAGTGATACACTAAAACAACATGGTACTTGATGGGGTATAGAATGGGCCAGTGATACACTAACACAACATGGTACTTGATGGGGTATAGAATACAAACATGGGGAGGCCAGTGATACACTAACACAACATGTAATTTGATGGGGTTGATGGGGTATAGAATACAAACAAACATGGGAGGCCAGTGATACACTAAAACAACATGGTACTTGATGGGGTATAGAATACAAACACGGGAGGCCAGTGATACACTAAAACAACATGGTACTTGATGGGGTATAGAATACAAACACGGGGAGGCCAGTGATACACTAAAACAACATGGTACTTGATGGGGTATAGAATACAAACATGGGGAGGCCAGTGATACACTAACACAACATGGTACTTGATGGGGTATAGAATACAAACACGGGGAGGCCAGTGATACACTAAAACAACATGGTACTTGATGGGGTATAGAATACAAACACGGGGAGGCCAGTGATACACTAAAACAACATGGTACTTGATGGGGTATAGAATACAAACACTTGATGGGGAGGCCAGTGATACACTAAAACACAACATGGTACTTGATGGGGTATAGAATACAAACAAACAGAATGAGGCCAGTGATACACTAACACAACATGGTACTTGATGGGGTATGGAATACAAACATAGAATACAAACATGGTAGGATGGGGTATAGAATACAAACAGTGATGATACACTAAAACAACATGGTACTTGATGGGGTATAGAATACAAACACGGGGAGGCCAGTGATACACTAAAACAACATGGTACTTGATGGGGTATAGAATACAAACACGGGGAGCCCAGTGATACACTAACACAACATGGTACTTGATGGGGTATAGAATACAAACACGGGGAGGCCAGTGATACACTAAAACAACATGGTACTTGATGGGGTATAGAATACAAACATGAGGAGCCCAGTGATACACTAACACAACATGGTACTTGATGGGGTATAGAATACAAACACGGGGAGCCCAGTGATACACTAACAACAACATGGTAGAATACTTGATGGGGTATAGAATACAAACATGGGGTATAGAGCCCAGTGATACACAGTGATAACTAAACAACATGGTACTTGATGGGGTATAGAATACAAACACGGGGAGCCCAGTGATACACTAACACAACATGGTACTTGATGGGGTATAGAATACAAACACGGGGAGCCAGTGATACACTACAAAACAACATGGTACTTGATGGGGTATAGAATACAAACACGGGGAGCCCAGTGATACACTAAAACAACATGGTACTTGATGGGGTATAGAATACAAACACGGGAGGCCAGGCCAGTGATACACTAAAACAACATGGTACTTGATGGGGAATACAAACACGGGGAGGCCAGTGATACACAAACAACATGGTACTTGATGGGGTATAGAATACAAACAGTGCCAGTGATACACTAAAACAACATGGTACTTGATGGGGTATTGATACAAACACGGGGAGGGTATAGAATACAAACATGGTACTTGATGGGGAGGCCATGA